GTAATCCTGACCTTTTGACGTGTATGCGTATGGCCGTTTCGCATACGTTTTCCATTTACAGCGTGTTTCTGACTTATGAAAAGCATGATTTTTTAAAAAACTCCTTTTTAATATTTTTTTCATTTTATGCTTTTACATTGAATCGAATTTATCGATTTACGATGTTCCTACTACATTATGTTAAATAAATGCAATTCATAGCATTATTTTATATCCAAGTGCAATTCTTTAGGTAAATTATTTGAAATTTTACAAGCTTTTTTAGAATCTAATTTTCAGATAAAATCATATTTTCTGTGACTTCCCGTAAAATCTGAATGGCTAGACAGTGGTCATATGGTTCATGATTGCATAATAGAGCATATTTGTGAGCTGCTATGCTCGATAAAACTTTGTTGGGAAGAGCAAGTAGAAGAAATGATTTAGTGCTTAAATCTGTTCCCTTCTGTCTCGACATTAAAAGTATCAAAGTCAATCATTGATACAAAAGTATTTAAACTCTTAATTCCTGTGTATCATACAAGCAACAATGATGGTTGCCTTTCTCTTGGTTCTTCTTTTCCCTTTAAGTGAGACAAAAAAATGAATACTTAGGGCAAACAAATTTATTAGCAGGTGTCCTACAGAGGCAGCTGTATAATAGTTCAGATTTATAGCAAGAGATTAAAAACAATCATTCTAGGTTCTTTTGAGAACCTATCGAAGGAGCCTTGAAAGATATGTCCAGCCTTCTTCTACCGAGCCCCTCTCCACAAGCTCCTCTAAGACCTCTATATATTAAGACCCCAGCAATTTGTCATAAATAGACGTTTAAGACAAATTCAGGGGTATGTTATAGCTTATGTCAGGGTTGAAGGGTCACAAAAAGGGGCTCTTCAACAAAGTTTTGTAGAAAAATAGCAAAAGTAAAAGTTTGCTACTTTTTGCAGCCCGTTTGGGGTCCCTGAGCCCCCTAGCATTGCACCCTGGTTTATGATAATTCTGTGCCTAATATTTTTTATAAGTAAGTATTGAAGTCTATCAGGAAATAACTATTTAAGACATCTATAATAAAAAAATCCTTTGGCGTGACATTAAATGTCACTTCGACCTTAAGCTGTTTTTGACCTTAATTTTTTTTGTTTGGTTTCTTTACTTATTGCGGTTTCCAAGAAAATTGCAAGGGATTTGAAAACAGACTTCACCAAAAGGATAGAAGCGTTGCCAGAAGATTCTAAGTTCCTTCAGGATACTTTAAAATGGTAACGAAGTGGAGTATGATTCTCGTTGAATACAATATGAAATCAGATTAATATTGAAGATCTCCGATTTGCATCGTATGGTAAAAACATAAAAATTAAGTAAATTTGAGAAAATGATTGAGATTTTTTATTGCTAAAACAGTCATTGTAGATCTTCAATATGCTTTTTAGTCTGCCAGGTGCTCTAAGTAGCAAAAAAGAATAAATGAAAATTTATTTTCATGTTACTAATTTTGAAATTCTATCAAAAATCATGAAGGCCTAAATCTTACCAGTGTTATTTCAATGAACGTAAGCAAATTGATTCTGCTCCTGTGACGCCTTGACAACATATCTGCCTAGTTCAGTTAAAGTGTGAAACGTGACTTTTACCAGTGCAGTTTACCAAAGCAATCTGAAAGCTAAGTGCAGTCCAAGAGTGATAAATGGCAAAAGAACACTGCAACATTATGCATAATGAAGTTAGCGAGAAACAACACGTAATTTTGTTTGTTTAATTCTTCATGAAGGTCGATTTGTGATTTCCACCTAGCTCCACCTGTCTTTTTGCACGCTTCTTTATCTCGATTCAAATTCGATGGATCAAAGTATAGAACTGTAGTGTTAAACAAATATTCTGGTGATTAAAGAATCTTGTGAAACTTGAACAACGTGCATTTTTTTCTTCTCTCCTGAAAATGTTTATTTTACTTGCAAAAAAGGCTTATACCAGTAACAGGCTAGTAGCTACTACTACTGTTCCTGTCCGAGAGGCAATTCACTCTTGCAATTAGCGTACGACATTTTCACCAAAAGCAATAGGATTTATTGGGATTTTCAGAAATAACAAAAGGACTTCTACCAAAAGTGTACAAGATTTCCATTGAATGATTTACCCTTTGCTCTCGTCCATTCTCCGCTCCATTTATACTTTTTGCAAAAGGAGTCACATAATACCAAATGACACATTCATAATTTACCTTGTAAAGCGCAGAACAGGCAGTTAAAAGATTTTCAAACTGGAATACATCTGAAGAGATTCGTTTACTGTTTTTTCAATGAATATATGAACATAGGCACAGAAAAGCTAGCTTAAAGGTCATGTATTGATTCTATTGAATTTGAACTTTAGATATATATCAGAAATTTGACGCCATCTGTCAGTACTCGGACAAATTTTGAGTTTGTGGTCTATCACATTCAAAAGAAAGAAAATTTCAAATCATTTACAGATTAGGAGAAATAAAACGACATTTATCACCTAAGCAAAGAATGAATGACTTTGTATTTGCCTTCTTCTAAAATTGATTTTGTCTCTTTCCTTTTTATACTTTTTTATTATTCAAATTAAGTGTTTTGTGAAGGGACTGTATCGCCTCTCAGAGCACTGCTAAAGCACCATTGCATTTACAATTGAGGGGAAAACTGAATCACAAGAGGAAGGGCCAGTGCCAATGCTTCTCTTTCTCGTGCAGCAATTTCTATTTGCCACAAAATTTGTAGGTTTCTAAATACACTAGTCTGAGTCACCAGTGACGTAACGATGGCACATGAGGCCCTTGGGAATTAAACAGAAACTGCCAGACTGTAACAAGGTCCAATCCAGTGGCATAAGGCATGTTAAACAGAATAGCAAGATGCAAAAATAAAAGAGTCTTTTCGTTAACTAGGGGGACCTGAGTATCATGCTTTAGTTGAAAATCTTTGAAGTTTTTGAAAATTAAGTGAACTTGGGGAAGTCTGAACAACATGGGTATTTAAAATATTTGGGGTCCAAGTTTGTTCAGTGGCCGTTAGTTATCGGACAAAAGTGTCCTAACTGTGTTCCGCAACTTGAACACAATAATGTCAGGGACTGGTAGGCAGGTTCATAAACTTTCCGGTCATTTTGCTACAAAAAAGGTTCTCATGCATTTCCTAGCTAATTTTTTAGATAATGAAGTAATTAAGTAGTTAGATTTTAAATCCGAGGTACAGTATTAGCTAAGCTCACATTTAGAGAGTCAAGTGTAGTGTTGCAGTTTAAGGTCTTTTAAATGTCAAACCTATCTTTATTGAGTGACTGGGAAAAATAAAACTGTATACTACATAAGTACTTTAGCTTTATAAATTGAAATAGGGTTGTTTCTCAACTTTCGAAAAATTGAGCCTACCGCCTATAATAAGCTGTTTCTGATAAAAAAATTTTCACAAGACAATCTATAAGAAACTGAGAAGTTTGCAGTATCTTCAAAAGAGAAATCAAGATGTTATACTGTGTCATGGCCAAAGTAGACCATTCTAAGCATTTAACCAGTCTTTCTAGCTGAAAAATATCATTTAAGCATAAATGAATATTGCTTAGACAAAATTTGCACAAAGGGGCTATATAAGGGTCGATGGGGGTAAGTATGGGGCAAGTACTCGTTATTAATATTTTAGAATCACCACGTCATTAATTTATGAATTTTTCATGATGAATATAAATTATTTGCGTTTGGCTTTTGAAGAATTTTTGCGAAAAGCTAGAGAGTGGACTTAAATTTGGATTAATGTTATACAAGACATTGTACATTACTCCATAAAATGGTAAACATTGCCTTGTTAGAAACTTTTATCTAACCACGCTAAATTTGGACAGCTCGTTAGCCAGAGTTCAACAAATAACGAAACTAAAGCCACGTCTTCCACGTCCCTGAACTTTCATGATATATGCATAGTTCTGATATTAAATGTATTTCCTAGTTTTGTCTCTAGCAAAGCCAATAATGAAAAGAACAGGCAGTGGACAATTTCTGACTGCTCTTAGAGTTAAACCCGCTCAGAAGAAACTCGAGAATTTGTAAACCCAGAGGCGTCGTGGCTTGGGGTTTGTGATGGGGGGGGGGGGTTATATCCGATCGGCAAAATAATATTCATAATTTATAAAAAAGTAAGAAAGTTTAAAGGAACTTATCCGTATAAGAAGAAATATATAAACAGATAAAGTTTACTGAAGACAGTAAAACTCGTGGTTATTCATTTTACAGTCTGCCTATCCAAATCTGTACATTTTTACAGGAAATAGCAAGCTTGCCAATTGGTATTACTAATCACGAGAGCATCTTTTTTAAATTTAAAGTTTGTAAAGAACAGGTTGCGATCAACAATGGGCTAAGAAAGGTTAAATAAATGTTGAGCTTGACTTATTTGACACTCGGTTATGACGAAGTAATCGGCAGGTTTGCTGACACACCATTACTAAGTAGACTTTCATACACTGAAAGTCATTCATTTCATTTCTTTAGTATCTTAAGATTTCAATTATCAGTCCTATTGCGAGTTTTACTGTTTATCACAGATACTGGTTACTGATGATTATGATTATCCAATTTTCGAATACCGATGCTGGCTTTTGATGCTGGCTTTTTCTGACCGACATTTTGAAATCAGTAAAAGTGATGCTGCCAAAGATGCAAATTGTTCGCCATGTCTTTCTGCATTCAAAAACTGCGCATGCGCTAGATGGTGTCATGATTTTAATTTAAGCTCAATGTCGGAAAATGTGCAAGCTGTGCCCCCCCCCCAAGAGTCACTAGCCACGATGCCCTTGTGAAAATCTTCAGGTTCTTTCGGAAAATTTTGGAAAGCTTGTTACAGAAAGTCAAAGGTTTTAATAAAATAGGCTTGCCAAATTTAAATGTGAAATACCTTTGAGAAGAGTTAAAATTTTTAAATGTTTAACAAAATCGTATTGTTTGCTCTAAGCATTTCATTTTAACAGACGAAGAGGAAACTGGTTCCGTTTACATTTGGGTGCTGGACAGATTAAGAGATCAACTTCATCTGTATAAATAATTATTGTGGTCGACCAGGGTACTTCAGGACTTCACATAAATGTTTCCGGAATTGAAATTTATTTCTTTTGTACACAAAGCTTTAGTCATTACAGTCTGACAGAATCGTCATATTGAAAACCCTGTCTCGGACGCTGAAGGCAAAAAGAGTTCAAGAAACTTTTTTTACAAGCAAGGAACAGACTGTTAAGCGAGACAGGTTCGACCATTATAGGTACAGAATAAAAATAACATTATTCTGCGATTACATTGCGATTACATTGCGATTACATTGTGATTACATCGTGATTACATCACGATTACATTGTGATTACATCGTGATTACATCGCGATTACATTGTGATTACATTGCGAAATGCGATAATAGTCTAATGCAATAAAACTCACTGCAATATGTCTAATGAATTTGTTTATATTTCATAAACTGAGAACTGCTACCGGAAAAAAGCTTTTTTTGGCAATAAAGTTTTTAAGACCTATGTTAATGACAATTTGTATATTCACTGCACAGCTTTAGTTGGTATCAATCTTCTTGTTGATTTGAACTATCTAGCACAAACATTTTTTGAGGTTATTTTATCACAGGGTTTAACTTTCGGGTGACAAAATTTATGTTTCTATGGCAACAAAGATGCCTCAGGATTTCTGTTACGCCACTGCAAAAGATCTAACAAGTTTTTGAAATTCCCTTTGAACTGTCAATTAAATGGTACTTAGCTTGAAACACAGCTCGCAGCTGGTCTGAACTACCCCACACTACAGAACTAAAGACAAGACTTGAAAGTTCATGAAAGTTCATCTTTAAGAATATAAATGTCAATTGTGTTCGTAGTCGCTTAACATCTTTCGCTGGAATAAATCTTCATTGGGCAAGATTGATCATTGCTGAACAATGGTGAACACTGCTGAGCATTGATGAACAAAGCATCGTAGGGTTTGCTTACCAGTTCACTGCACAATGACCCTGAGAACGTTTGCGCCAGACACTTCACAGAGAGTTTGAAATGGCGATTAAAAATTACTGGTAATCTTCTTTTGTATCCTTTCAAAAATGATATTTAAAGAAATCACTTTCCAGGTATATGGAGTTTTTCCTGCCATAACGAAGTGCGATGCGCTAATATTTGCATTGCCACGTGCATTTGTAAAGGTCATCGCGTCATTAGGCGGACCATTTTGCTACACGGGTTTTTTTTGGAATTTGAAAGATTCCTTGGCCACGTTGTCAGTTAAGGTCGAGCAAGTTGAAAATGAATAATAGCTGTCTTGCATGCTTTAAACAAGCTTTTAAAAAAACGTTTTCCAAAGACTGTGCTTTCATTTCAACGAACACAAATTAAAACATCTGCGCTTAGGCTACGCTACATTTGCTTTTTTAAAAGTTCCAATTAGGACGGGACTTTTCAATGTTTCAATTTTCAGTCACAGATTTATCATTTCCATTTACACGGTGAATAAAAATGTAAAGAAATGAATGCTTTTTCTCCAGGTTCGCGCAGACTGGATCGTAGGTAGGGCGCTTCTTTTGTTTTAGAAAACGCGCGACTTTAAATGTTTGAATGGCAGGGGTCGAGGCTGCATAAAGCAACCAGAAAATATTTCAAAGACCGGAATAGCCGGAATAGCATTTTCAAGATTTAAAAGCGGACTAATTTCTTTTATTTGCCACTTTCGAGTCTGGTAATAACAATCGTAGCAAATTTCAATGCACTTTATTGGAACCTTAAATACAACTTACAAAAATAGGTTGCTTTTCGCAGTGATACAGATCAAGGTTAAAGAACAATTTCTTGATAGCAATTTGCAACCATTACGTTACAAAATCTAAAAGACAGCGAGTCTAAAACACAGGGAAACCCCCAGCTAGATCAACGCCGTTATAGATTCATAAATGATGTGTGGACAGAAAATAAAAACGCAGAGAAATCGTTGTAAACAAATTTTAAAAATCAATTACAAAATGTCTTCATTTTAAGGCATTTGGGCAGCAGGGTCAGCGATTCATTTATAATACCTTTTCTGGTTTCCCATTTGAGACGTAATTTGAAACACTTGATCCATTTGGGGAACAAGACTGCAAATCAATGTCTCATTTTCCATCTCCGGGAACCATTTTACTGCCTTAAGTATCAAGGCAGTTGGTTAGAAAGAAATTACTATCAAAACTAAAGTGAAGATTTTTAAAAACAAATCGGCTACTTTTGTGTTTTGTAGTAAAGGTTAATGCTCCAAAGCTTTTTTAACCTGCCTTACAGATTACTTGAGGGCCCTACAACGTAAAGGACCAGATTTATCTTTGGGCGTGTACAAGAGAGACAATGCTAATCAGAGATGATTGTGATTAAGTGATCTCAAAGTATCATTTAGATCATGTAATCATCTCTTTTAATGGCTAGCCCCGAATCATTGTCTACAAAGGATGAGAACAAGTAGAATGATAAATAAGCCATGTACAATCATTGTTATATTAGAAAAACGTTTCAAAAACAGCTAACATTATGAATATATCAATCACTGACGAACTCTTTGAATCATTAATGAAAAGATGAAAAATCAATTGCTGAAGATGCAGTTAACTTAAATTGTAATCAGTTGAACTAAAGTTCAAATATTGGCTGAAAAGAAGGATGAAGTAAAGCATCATAATATATTTATTGGTCTTATAAAAAATCTGTGAAATTTGCATCAACAAAACAAACAAAATCAGTAAAGAAATCTAATTTAGTAACAACGAGTATGCGTACCATTGCCGATTTAATAAAGGTTCTCTTTTCAGGAACCATATGTGAATAGAAATATATTCGAGGCTTTGGTATGGAGAATGGCGAGGAGGTTGCTCAGTTATGCCATCAAAGACAAATGTACACCATGCAATCCGAAAATTCAGTACACAAAGCTCAGGTTTGAAAACCATGGCCTAAATGCTGGTTGAAATGGTAAATTGACTTTTTTCCAGCCAGAGAGAATCTTGATTGTGAAAGAGAAAGATTTCTAGTCGATTATTAAACATGAATTCGATGAGCTCAATAGCACTTATAGAAAATGGATAGGAATCAAGAAGTTTGCCATCTTTGAAAGCAAAACAGCCAGCAGGGTACAAAGAACATATCATAAGACACGGAATAACAAATCAGCTTTGTTGTTTAAATTTCCTAGGAACTAGGCCGATGGTGTTACAGTATATGACTAAAAATTGGGATTTGAAAAACTGGAAAAAACACAATATCGACAGAGCTGTGTTTACATGGGGACAGAAACATCTTGGGGATTTACAAATGTCAATTTTAAATTGATTTTTCGGAAATCAATGAATTAATTTTTCGAAATTTCAAAAGCTAACGAGGTTACTCTAAATTCTTCGCCGTTTTAATTAAGCCAGCATATTATTCAGTTTTATAGACTATGATTACACTATTCTATAATTTTATATGAAATATCTGGAAAAAATGTTAATCACAATATAAAAATTAGAATTTTTAAAGACCAGTCAAATTTGAAGGTCTGATGATTATTCTGAAAAAGAAGACCCCCCTGTTCTTTTATTTCTATTTGCCTGACGTTGGACATCTTCAACAAATTTCTTGGCTTTCTCCCAGGCAATGCGCTCTTGTTCCTGAATAGAAAATCAATAGTCAAATGAAAAACACGTTTTTAAAAATATGCTATGCTTTAAGGGCTAGCAAGGGGTTAGGCATTTCTAAACTTCAACAAAACGCCTTAATTTTGCAGCACAGCATAAATGTGTATTAGATGTGATCATTTAGCTGTATGGCAAAAAAGCAGAGGCCGGGAATTCTCGAAATGGAATCTTATAAGAATTATCGCAAGTTTGTTAGTTTTGCTCATATTTAGGCGTAATAGCTGAAAAGATTCATTTCAATTGAATAGAAAAAGTCATGGTACTTGAGGATTGACATCTAATCCAAGGCAAGGATCGGTTTGTTTAGTTAAAGTGCTTAAGATATTAATCCAGTTTTGATAATTGAGCAACTGCTTCAAGTTCTCAGAGAACATTCCATTTGTTACGACTTTTTTTAAGTTTTAAATTTATATATTCACTACAACCTATAAAGTTTCTATAGTTTATTGAAACAGATACTAGAAAAAATCTTGACTGCTTGTAATATCCAGTACCAACTTAACAGAAAAAGTAAGATATGCCAAAAATTATGCTACCTTCTTTTAATTTCAAATGATGCTAAACTACATCTGATTGAACAACCCTTGGCATTGCAATCAATGTTTGATCTAAAAGCTGTGTTAAGAGTCGAAATACCTCATATAAGCAAATGCAAATATCCAGGAGAAAAGACACGGAAAAAAATATTTACCTCTTTGCTTTCTCTGCTAAGTAAATTCTTCATGGCTTTACCAAGCTTGGAGACTTAAAGACAACAAAAAAACATACTTGAACAGTACGTCCAAAGCAATTTTCGAAATAAGTTTTGTTCCCCGGCTTTTGTGTATCATTTCGTTCCTTCTCATTCCTTTACTTTAATCAAAGAATGAAATACCTGTGTTTGATAAAATAGCAATTAGGACTAACCTAAATTAAATCACATCTCTTGATTTTTACAAGTATCCAAATCGCTATATCAATTGAAAACGACCCATAAAAGACAAAAATTGAATCTTATCGCTTGCTTACAGGCCAGTATGGTATATTGAACCAACTTCCAAGCATTGATTTTGGTAAATTTTAGTTAACCCTTTTCAAGAAGAGGAAACAATGCACCACAAAATGACAACTAGTGCTCGTAAATTGCAACTAAATGGCAGCATAAAAATAAGCTAATTGTTCAATACCTGACGATTTTTCATTCGTTGTTTCGCCTTCTGCTGAGTCAATTTCAGTCACGAAAACCCCAAGAGGATTCACATATCCCATCGCCAGTCGACTGAAAAAAAGTCATCAATATAAAGCGACGCTTGAAAAAATCGAACTACGAAAAGTTGAGCAAAATCAATGGTAAACCATTGTGATGAGCAGAAAAATGTATGCTAAAAATTGCGATTAAGAAAAAAGTCAATGAATAAACGCATTTTTCAATGAAAAAACGGGATTAGAAAAATAATCAAGCTTTAAGCTGCAAGCTTCAACAGCTCTGTTTTTCGTATACCGTAAAATCTGTACTGAGCGCTCAAGGCTTAAAAAAGGGTGCTTAAAATAGAGTTTATTGGAGGGAGGGGAGTTATATCAAATTTCTTTTAGGAATTTAGAGGGAGAGAAGGGAGGGAGCATTTTTAAACTTTTTAGGGTACTTTTCTTTGCTTAAGGGAAATATTTCCTCAGTTTTTAAAACTGTCCTGAAAACAACTGCCAATCGAACTTTAATTTCTCGCAAACTCTGGAATGCAGGAACACCACAAGTTTGTGCCAGCCTTAATGGCTGCCAGAAAAACTAGATGGCCCAGTGGACTTCACAAAATTATGAATCTGAAAAATTACGCAAAAATCAATACTGCTGAAAAGCGAAAGGAGCCTATTTGAAATATCGTGCTTGTGAATGGGCTGCAGGTCATAGGAGAGTTGGGAGGTTGGGGCAAACTGGAGGTTTTAAGTTTTTCAATTTTGGCCATAGGAGTAAGAGAAAAACAGGTTGGGAGGTTGCAACCCCCCAAATCAGGCAAAATTTAAAACATTTCAGGCTCCATCTCAATGAACCGAAATTCGGTTCTTTATCTTACCCAGCGTCCGGCCGGTGCCATAAGTCGTCAGCGTCCTGGTCTAAAAAATCCGGTTCTGATAACGACTTTGGTAAAAATTCGGTTGATTCACTACGCGAGTCTGAGGATATGGTGCTTGACACTTCATCGTTTGCCGGATGCTCTACCGAACCTTTACAAATGCTTTCTAGCAGTTGCATAAAACTATCGCTTACCAAGAATCTTTCAAAGAAAATCTACAACAATGATAAAATATGATAAAATATGATAAAATATGATAAAATATGATTTAAAAAGAAAGACGAAGAGGTTGACGAAATTATTCAATGTCAAAAGCATATTAAACCAAAGATAATCAATGACACTTGCTAATCTTGGGTCTTTCGCTTACTGCATTAAAAAAAATTTTAAATCAAGAAAGCTTTCGGACTATTGTACAGAAGCAAAATAACAAAAAGCAACATTACGTTGGTTTCAAAATTTCTATGAAGAAAAGTATACGTTTGGTCACTAGGACAAAATACAAGTTCCATATGCAGAACAAACTTGAATTCATCCTCAATTTCTTTAAACTAAAGCAAATAAAGTTCTAAATAGATTCTTATTTAGGTTGAATAAAACTTTATAAAATCTTGGCTCTGGTGTCGAAGTTTTTAAATCGAATCAAAATTTGAGTCTCTTATTCAAGTCATCGCATTAAGAAGAATCCCAGCACTTTAAAAAGTTATAAAACAATGTCATCCGGTACATTCTACATTTCCAACAAATGAGAAGAAGGCAAGGCTGTGTTATATACCAAAACTATTGGGCTAGGCTGTGTTATATACCAGAACGCCGAGAAGAGCACAAACAATCTTGAAACGCAGTTATGTCATATATTGTGCATAGCTGCTGTTAATATGAGGTCAATAGATATTGTTGGTAAGATTGATTTTATGTTTGCGAAGGAATCATTACTTTTGTGCGAGAATCTGTATTCAATACGTTTATAATTAGATGCTATTCTGTTACAAACAGCCTCCTATCTTCAAACACCTTATTTATGAATAAGTAAAGAATAGGAAATGGATTAAATCAGGTACCGGGACACTTGAGGCGACAAAGAAATAGCCAGCATTGCAAGAATTTTGAAAACGTCTGACATAAAATTCGATTGAGCAAACACGAAGCACCCGAATATTGATCTATTGTTTGTTCTTGTACAAACATAACATTATTCTGTATTCAAACGTGACTGTTGCCATTGCACACGCACCTGCAAGCTGGCGGGGCAGTACCAATGAATTACCCGTTTGCAAGCAGATACTTAGCCTATTACAGCTATGCTAGCAATGACATAGACAAACCTCTTTCAATGCAGTCCAAGCGTACGCCACCGGTATACAAAAACAGTTTGGCTGCGGGCCGTCTTCACGACATATGTTGTTCTCGATAACAATTCGCAGTTTATCATCTTTGATAATCTGATGTTTGGCGCGCATTGAGAAGTATCTAGAATGGGCGAGGCCAAATTCAAAAAAACTGAATGAGTATTCTTACTTAATTACTAAAAATCAATTTTATTGCCAGTAACAGAGACAAAAGTCGCAGCCCACGGCTACAAAGACAATATAAAAAGACACGAAAACGATTAACTAAGTCAATGGGTAAAACTGCGAAGAATCAATATATCAGGCCTGATATCATAATGTTTTTTCCAACTATTTACATGATAAATTCATGCAACCTCAAAGACACCGCTAATATTGATTCAAGGAGGGTCAGTTCAAATGAGGAAGGTCAGTTCCAATTGAGCAACGAAAGGAGTCCATTTAAAAGCACATTTTGTTCGAAATTCAGAAAACTTAAAGTATTTCTTTACAGTTTTACAAAAAAGAATTTCACAAAAAGGATATTTATCTGGGTTTAAAACGATTTTTACAAAATTTGAGCCTAAAATCAGCGTACAATTTGAAGCTTTTGTTGAACCTTTGAATAGCTATGAAAAGCGGAAGCGGAGTGGCAGACCAAGTTACATGGGTTCATGGATATAAAAACAAGCGAAAGATAAATGGAACGTACTTATCATAAAGTGACATTGCATCTTCCAGGGCTTCTGCGCTGTCGTAAATGCGTTTGCTTAGCTTCATTTGGATATTCTGTTCGAAATTCTCCGCCATCAACCAAAACTCTAAAATCTCTCTGCAATTTTCCCTATCTAGATGCTAGAAAAAAATTACGTAAATTAGCGAAAAAGGTTCAGGAAGACAATAAACAAAAAATGGCAGGGTGAGTTAGGGTATTAAAGATGAAATTATCCCAAATAACATGTGTATGACAGAATGTATCGCAACCATTACAAATGTGGCACAAAAATCTTAGTAAAAGGGAAAAATTAAAATCCTTTGATATATTCATCTTTAACGCAATATTTGAAAGGGGATGAGATTGAATCTTTAAAATTAGGTTGACTGAGAATAGGAAAGGCAGATGAAGATGCAAACACGAGGTACAAGCACAACTTGCAATTTGAAAATGTTATGCAAGTTATGACAAAATAAGAAAAAGAAAACTTTTTTTGAAACACAGCAATGATTGCATGGTAGATATTTTAGCCTTGCAAACAAGTCGTCCGTTGATGAAAATGCGTCTTTTAAATTTCCAAGGATAATTCATTAACATTGAGATAAACTGCACCGAAGTTAATGGTTTAATTAAACAAGGAATAACTCCTGAACAAATTTGTTGATTACATCACATTAAAAGGTCGCTGTGGCAAAATATGAAAATGGGCCAAAGAGTAAAATATTTAGGCCCAAAGCCTGCATTAAATATTAGAAGCTAACCATACCTCCATAAAGTAGAACAGAGATGTTTCATTATAAAGAATATCTTGCAATCTTGCTTTTGTCTCTCTTAATAAGTATAACTTATATTTGTTGCCATGTGAACATTCCAAAAATTGTTTGTGAATTCTAAAAGATAAAAATTTGTTATGAAAAATAAGCATACGAACTTTCACAGTCTCAGCATAGATTTTCCCGCTTGACTGTCAAAGAACGGTAATGAAATAGTATGCAAATTTTGCAGTTTACATTATCAAAAAACCTTTTGATTATTGCAAAGAATAGGGAAAATCAAAACTAATGGATAAAACTAAGCTTCTTAATCAAGAAACTAAATAGAAAATTTCATGGTCAAGATACTGATTGCTCCATAACATTTAATTCAAAATTTCGCATTATAACAAGATCAGAAATAAATATTAGAAGTGTTTGTATAAGCAACTATTTCTTTAGATACTTTTGACAATGCTTAGGTTTATATCTAAATAGGTTCAAAAGATCTTTGAATGGGAAGTTTCAACCTCTTTATTATTTTAACCATTTCTACCTCAAATATGGTTTTATACATGCTTTAAAATGGCAAATATTGGAACACTTAATGAAAATATTCTTGTTTACATCGCTTGGCGAAACCAAGGTAAATCAAGAATCAAGAAGACGTCAATAAGAAGATTATAATAAGTAAGTAGAAAGCAAAAATATAAAAATGGAGTTAAATTTTTGCAATTTTCACGGTTACTTAGAAATAAATTTGTTTCTATCAGAAGTAATAACAACTGTTTCTTAAAACATTGAAAGCCATACAATAATGTGAGCATTAAGTACCGACTTTGAAACAAAGATAACCACTTGGTAAGTGATCAAACAAGGTAAATGAGTTAAGCTGCAATGTGATATTTGCCGGAAGCTTTGATTACAAAAGACATCAACAATGACATATTCGCATTTTCTGTCCTTTGCATCTGCGTCTATTTACCATCAATGAAAAAGCCTCGATCCGACTTGATAAAAATCAACGAAAAATAATCTGAACAAAATGATAGACAAATACAGTGACACTGAAACAGCAGATGGCAAAAGATTGTGAAATGAAATCGTCAGACCGACCCATAATGTCTTATGTTTAATAGGTAATGGCATAATGAATTTGCTTAAGTTTAGACTTTCGGAAAATCACCTTCATTATTATACAGAATGAAATTGATCTTGGGCAAACAGTACGGTCATATTTCCTGAAAAACGTATGCCAATTCATGTCATCTGGCTGATAAGCAGGACATTCAGAGATAAACGACAATTATACTGAAGTGAATTTAAGACAATTATACTGAAGTATCAGTAATGGTGAAATTTTCTAGAGTGAAATGAAAATGTAGATGAAAATAGGGTCAGAAATGGAGAGAATTTAAATATTTCAGGGTTATCTTTTATAGATTAAGATGCACTTAAAAGGAAATCGCAATTTATAATCTACAAAACAGACGACAGAATACTGAATTTTAGCAAAAACAATATTTTCAGAAGCATGAAAGCGAAAGATAGAAAAGGTTTTCAATAAATTGAGCTTTGGTGGCTCGGTTAAAGAGTACTGACGAATAGGATTGCTGGTATTAAAACGAAAAAAACGGCATAGAATTTCTAAGAACAAAATAGCGATTCGTTATGACCAGTTGCCTGTTTACAGATTTTGCTTTGCCCTCGTCTACATGTGTTGATGATCTTAAATAAGTGGTGCGTGATAGAATGCCTTACCACTTGAGACTTATCTTGTAGAATGCATTATCACACAGACGGGATTTTTAGATAAGGAAATTTTTAAAAGATTTTCAAAGTTTCAAAACTTTTTGCCTAATAGGCAGAGCTTCAAAACTACATAATTGTTTATTTTTCCATAAATGGCCTGGTGCAACAAAATTAAGAAGCGAGTTTGGTTTACGAACTCTTGTTGGAAAAAATTCATTATGGTTTTCAAGTTTTCAGAAGTAATTCTTATAACAGAAATACACCTCATAAGCTACATATCTACAATATTCTCTGTAAAAATAGAAATCTTGAGCCATGATATGGTTGACGGCACACAGCGAAAGTTGATGCAAACAAACCTGATAATCCAGGGCACATTATACCATAAGCGGGAAGATAGCACATAATACTATTGCTCAAATTATACCTTAGAATACTGAATTTAATTTAAAATATGCTTTTTGATTATATATATTTTCTTGCTTCGATATAACAAAAGAGAAGCTAATTTGGTTCTCAAAGCTTTCTTCTGATTAACGAAGTTATAGGTCAGCTTAGGTTAAATTTTATGAGACTGTTACTTATACTTTAAACAAGGAATTTTTTATCCACTTGAATAGCAAAATATTTATTTTGCAAACAGCAAAAATACCATGCTCAGCTTGTGCTTTGAAAATTAATAGCAGGCATCGAAATATATATTTGTGTTTTTCTCTGGCCTAAAAAAATTAAAGAGCCCAAAAACACTATCGCGACCAATCCAGAATTGCTGCAAGGTCAACATTCGGTAAAAGATTAATATTTTTGTTTTGTTCTTGCAGATAAAAGATGAAAACAAAAACCACGCGCTTCCACTATCGGGCAGCATTTACTGGGCAAAAATGAGATTGTCCCAAAAACTATAATTGGGACATGTTTCGGTTTATTGGTAAAGCCCAATCGTCGTTCCATCTAGCAATTTTCAATATATCTACATAAACACGAAAAAGCTGCTATTGTGTAGACAGAAGGAGTTCGTTTTCACCTTAGGACTCCATTGGTAACATTCTCAATAGGCAAGCGGCACTGATTGGTCAACCTCTACAGTCATGTGCTCGCGTTTCTGATTGGCCTAGTCCACAACTGGGTTTATATATTTTCTAGCGTAGAATTCTCGTGTCAGACGAAAAGCTTAAGAATGTTCTAAAATGTTTGCTTTTTCAAAGGCATTACAAGTCTTTTTTCTCTCGTCTAGTAAGACAACATAGAACAGAAAAGTTTATCTGTATCATTGCAAACTAAAGAATGATAAATAAATGGTTTTGGACAATGTAGTCAACTGACAAATAAACATTGCCCAGACTTAGATATATGAAAGATGTGGTAAGGTCCAATGACAAAAATAATAGGCAGGGGATAGTCTATAACTGACTTTTTGCTGTTGCCTCTGTTTTTCTGTAGACTGTTTCTTCACAGGCTAATGAACCACTAAGGGAATATAATTTGCTTAGAATGCAAACTGTAAAAGAATTTAGTCACTCATTAGACCAACATTTACCCTTTTTGAATAAATAAAAAAAGTTTTAGAGTTGGAAGGAAAGAAAACAAGGACTCACGGGTCAAGCTCAGCGAGAATAAAGTCCTGGGCATCTTTGAAGCAGTGAGGATTAACGTTGTCTTGGTGTCTGCATATTTCAGCTAGAAAAAAAACTTGGCAAATACACATCTACACCTGCACCTGTCTCCTTGTAGTCCATTAGTGACATACACAAAGCCAGACGACTGAAATCCCAGCATATTTTACGTTGTCCATTCAAAGCAGTACTTAAATTTCCAATTGGGTAATGAAATTGAGTAAAAAATATCGTAATATACTTTTGCATATTACGATATATACGATTTATTACGATTTTTATATAAAAAAAGTATTGTAATAAAACTTTTTTTACTGAATGACAAAATTAAAAATACATCTAATGCGAAAATGCTTAACAATTAAAAAGGCCAAATCTAACATCATAAAACAAGACACATCCCAAAATTCCTTGCTACAAGTCAGAAGGATGTCAACAGTCAAGAATAGAAGCTTGTAACATTGTGATTAACAATTTTCGGGAACAATCTACTCTATTCAGATCAACACTATATGAACGGTAACATTGCTTGATTCTTTCACGCGTCGCACTTCATGCTATCATCAAAACTGCACTATTATAATTTTACAGAAAAAAGAGTTGAAGATATGAACTTCATTTCTTTGTTCTAAGATATGAAAACAAAATGAACGCGTAAACATAATGATAAAATAGGGAATTGTGAGATACCTTCAATATGGTTTCTGATTCTTGAAGGCAAACCCAGGGGCTGATCGGCATCGAGAGAGATGTACCGCGCGTAAAGGCCAACCGCATCTACTACCGCACCTAAATTAATCCGGTTCAGTATCGTTATAACACCCATACAATTAGTATCCAAAAAAGCATTTAATTCATTAACAGCTAATCTCTTAAAATTCTACAATGAAATATCATATTCAATCGAGAAACACTGAGAAACAAATCATTTTGGAACATGACAGAGAATTAAAAAAGTAAAACTGCCAGGCATTAACAATTTTTTAAGAAAGGCTAATAAATGAAATGAATTGCCTTTAATAATAAATATTGTCTATTCTAAATTTGTACACAAACTAGCCCGTTTGATTATGCACTGGTGACGTCACGTGCGCTGGGGAGAATCATTAGCTATTCATGAATAATTTGTGTTCATTTTTCGTTTTTTCTCGGCGCGTTGCAGTGCTTCTAATTTGTATTTATTTTTCGTTTTTTCTCGGCGCGTTGCGGTGCTTCTAATTTGTGTTTACTGTTCGTTTGTTCTCGGTGCGTTGCGGTGCTTCTAATTTGTGTTTATTTTCGTTTTTTCTCGGCACGTTGCAATGCTTCAAATTTGTTTTTATTTTTCGTTTTTTCTCGGCGCGTTGCAATGCTTCAAATTTGTGTTCATTTTTCGTTTTTTCTCGGCGCGTTGCGGTGCTTCTAATTTGTGTTTATTTTTCGTTTGTTCTCGGCACGTTGCGGTGCTTCTAATTTCCAACATACTGCTTAATAATCCTTTTCTAGTAGAACTGATTAAAGTAAGTTTTTTTTAAAAATTGTAAAACAGCATTCAAGACAAAAAATTACTTTACCTATACATCTGTTATCTTCAATTCACTATATAAATTTATGAGAGACTTTTTCAATTATTCATAAATATATATTTTTCATTTGTTAACTTTTTCAGATACTTACTTCACTAAGAAATGTTGCTGAGAAGTAATTATCAAAAATTTCAAACAACTTTCGCATTTTTAATTTTTTAAACAAAATGCTGCCTAAAGTTTTCGTTAAAAGGTCAACCCGCAGTTATACTAAAATAAAATATGAAAAGAAAGAAAAGAAAAAGGATTTTCCCCTTAGTTGGTTTCGATTTAAATGATTAATCTTACGATTTAGAAATTGTTTCAGCTAAGCAGGGAAGCATCAAAATCGTTGTTAAGTTTAGCTTTATGACTCACTTTTCGTTCGGATTCTAGTCTGCTTTGACATGATTCTTCGCGCAACGTAAGAATCTCTTCTTTTATCTTCTTTCCCTTCAGCCTTAGTAGGACAATCAGTGTCAGTTTGAGAAGAAAATGGTTCCCAGTTTTGTGCAAAGTTAAGACCAACTGAAACTAGGTCCTTCTGTCCAGGCACTTCAGAAAATGTGTGACTGTGTTGGTGTTTTTGTGAATTGTTCAATTCTGAATTAGAACATGCATGGCCATTGAGGTGGTTTTCAGCAAAACTATTCACAGATATGGCAGAATGATTTTCCTTACTTCTATGTCCACACTGCAAACCCCTCGACTTTAACCTAAAATTTGATGAATCTCCTCTCTCTCGAAGATTCCTACATTCAAAACAATAGTCCAGATCACCTAATAGATCGAGGTTAGTACAATCATTCTCGACAGTGGTTCCAACTAGATTCTTACAGACAGATTCATCGCTGTTCAATCTGGATCTCTCCAATGCAACAACTTCAAACGCTTGGACTGCCAGCCAAAAATCAACTAAATGCTTCATGTCTTTTGCTTCAAGATACTCCATAAAATAGGCCAGAGCTAAAGGACTTGCCAAAGTTTCTTTCAAAGATGGCGACAACCGCGAACTTCTGCTTATCGATTCTTTGGGCTTGAAAAAAATAAAAATGCTATTTAGCTGGAGTTACTTAATAAACTTGTTTGAAAATCAGTAAGATAGTTTATGGATAAATTAAAAATGAAACACATACGAATTCTTAAAGCTTTGCAATTAAAGACTATTTAAGAAAATTTGCCAGAAATAGAGAAAGAATCAAGTACAAGATAGATGAAATTCTAGAGTTTTGTATTTAAACATAAAAAATTGCATTCTAATGACCGCTTTTTAATGAGCAAAGAAATTTTTAATAATTCATGTGTAGTTTTCATAACGTGAAAAACATGACACATGGCAATGAAGAAACCTTTCATAAATAATAGGTGACAAACCTTGAGGTTGCACTCTTGACTTTCAAGAAATTCTTTCAAATCCCAATCACCTACAAGATAAGAAAGAGTTGCTATAAACAAAATTCGCCAGAGGCTTCAATAAAAGGTTGAACTATCAAAAAGGATCCGGTTTATAGTATATTGCATAGAAGTTTTAAAAAATACACAAGAACAAAATTTCGTATCGATCTGTGCAGTTCAATCGTTTTGTTAGCAAGTTCAGAAATATTTTTGAGGTTAATGCTGAAAAATAAACTTAGATGTTTTGCTTGTGGCAAAATTGTCTTATGAAAGCATTGTAACAACAGTAATTGTCAGCAAATTTTAGGAAAGTAGTCCTTTGGTGGTGAGCAAAACAGCACTAAATGTAATACCTAAACATTTATATTTTTGCTTCGGTTCTCCTAAAACTGTGTTTCAGATACAGCAGAAAAAGATTGCGAAGACACGTTATGTTTAATCCTGGAAACCCTTAAAATTATTCAAGTGTTTACCGATCATTATATATGGGTCTATTTGAAAGTCTTGCCTTCATATTCTTGAAAACATAGCAACTAGGATCCAGATGCATTAAAATTGGTGCGAAATATAAAATTGTTTCAAGAAACTGAGAATCACGAAGTTGTTTGCTTCGGACTATTTTTCATTTAAAAAGCTCCAAAAACAGCATAATTTTAGCATAACATTGATTGATGCTGGACATTTGCCGGTGATTATTCGATAGTATGTGCTACCTTTAATTTAACTATTCCTATTTTCTGTCTTGATTTTTGGTGTACTGGGTAAGCAAACCTCGCAAGATACTCAAGTTGAAGACGAACCAATGTCAAATTAAGTTTCTCTTTGACATGACCTGAGCAGTCCTAAACAGTCTATACTTAACAGCCCTAATGTTCATTTGCTTCATCTACCATATGATGGACTACTTTAAACTAATTTGTTCTATAGCTACTTTACATCCTAAGACATCCATAAACGACCACTTTTCAATAGGCGCTTCATTTACTAGCTAGTCGAAAGAAATCTTATTTCTTCTGAAAGGTACCACCAGGAATAAAATTTAGAGGCAATAAATATCATATATCATTCTTTATCTGTGCAACAAATCTCAATCATCCTGCAAAACAAAACTGTGATATCGTTTTGAGATGTAATTTTTTAGCAAATGTAAAATAATTAACAAATGTATATATGACTGTCTATCTTCATCAATATCATTTATACAAATATCAAAAACAGAATAGGCCCAAGAAATGTTTCCTGTAGAACTCCAGAAAGCACTTCACGCGGGGAAATTTTCACAATTCATTACCACTATAACACATACTTTTCTAAATTATGGAAGAGTTTCGTATATGAACTTTATAAAAACCTAACAGAACTCAAACCTTATTGTGAGGAATCTTAAAAACATCGCCTTTTAAGGCCTGCCATGCATCATACATACTCAATGTGCAATAAAAATACATTAAAGACTGATTGATATGAGGATAAGGTTAGACAAGAAATTTGATTCGTGAAAAGTAAAACGAAAGTGGAAGCTATTATCATCACAAGTCGATTATAAGAGAAGCCTAGAAAGCGACCAAAAGTTATATATTGTCCTATCTGATTTAGACAAAACGTATGATAGAATTTCGAGAGAGGTGGTGTATTGGTGCTTAAGGGACAATGCGGGCCAAAAATTTTGATCGATTTGTCAAAGCATCTATGAGTTGGTAAGCACAGTGACAAGAACAGTCATTGGAGACTCAGATGAGTTTAAATAAATGTGTTAATGGATTGCATTAAGAATCAGCTCTTAGCCAATTCCTATTTGCTGGTATGTTGTCAAGAAGACATTGTAGGATGAGCTACTAGCTAGAGAAATTGGACTGCATTCAATCAAATCCTTCGGAGTCAATCGGGGAAGGATTTGAGGTTGCAGTGATGATGAAAGTGAAAGAGTCAAATTTCATGGGGAAATTGAGTTGAAATTGAAAAATTGACAATTGAAAAAATTGATAATATACCAAGTAAGAAGGCCCTGGGTAACAAAGATCAAAATTTTCTAGATAAAAATGTTAAGCAGAATCCTCAGCAAATCGTTTTGGAAAAATGTAGGACGTGGACAAATAAAATTTTGGTAGGAGTTTCAAAGAAATGGATAGGCTAAGAGGTGCAAGTTTGGAGAGTTTAAACATGAAGTAAGAAGAGAGTACACTGGTAACCGAAGAAGTGAAAAGAAGAAGCACAGAGAGAGAGAGAGAGAGAGAGAGAGAGAGAGAGAGAGAGAGAGAGGGAGAGAGAGAGAGAATGAGACCAGAATTTCGATGGAAGGATGTCATTGAGAGAGATCGGAATGTAACGGGTCCAACAGAAAGAGATTCAAAATATGGGGACTGATAGACAAATAAGATTAAAGAAGCTGAACTTCAGCGCTTGTACACATTTGTGAACATAAGCAGGTTCAACCAAAACTAATCACAAAATTAAAAGACATCCATATTGAAGATATTTTATCAAAGATGCAAACTCTGGAAGAGTTTTCTAAAAGCTTTCTAATGCAGAGTAATCATTTTTAGCAATGTTTGTAGCAAGGTTTAATGCTTGACCTCAACCAATGATTCCATACTGGAGAAATGAGGAAAACTGAGAGTATACAAGTATAGGTCCAAGGGGTCAAACAAAAAAAGACAAATAATACTATTTCATACTGTTCATACCACTTTGAAACATTGGCATAAAATGTGGTTTGGCTGCATCTTTTTTCGATTTTTCCTTTCTTCCCTTTCTTGAATCACTCTTATCTTTGCTCTTCTTGCCATGCTTGCCTCCAGACAGTCCTTTCATTCTTGGAATGAATATCTTTTTAACATACAATTGGTATGGCTGGGTAACAATTTGGTATTTGCATCATGACAGCTGCAAAGTAGGCAAAAGATCAACCATTTAAACAACCAACAACATAGTAACATGGATTATTCAACATAGTAACTTGCAATGAATTAAGATGTTTTAACTGTTTCACTTAGAACAAACAGAGAAGTGATTCGCAAAAAAGCACCACTCTGCAAGCCTGCCAAAATTCACAAACGCTGCCCAAAATAAATGATATCAAGGTCCTGCAAGAATGTGTAACAGGAAGTGTTCTGGACAATTGGACAGCTTATGGTTAATCTGTGAGGTTTAATGACTGTCTCTTATCAATAAACAATGGAAGTCATATTGAAATGCAGATCTGAAATTCAAAAACTGATTCACTGAACAGGGCACTAAAGCAAAGCAATGGAAGATGTAGAAATAACCCTTATTTTGTCCTAATTCTTCATTAGACTGTATCACAAGACCATTATCCAAAATTCAAGCTTGCAAAAACTTGATGACCAATAACCATATATTTCCGAAAAACCACAATACAAAGGATGTGCAATGACAAGAGAAAAGTTTTGGATCATTGTTTTGTCTTAGGCTTGCCTTATGCTTGTTTAAAGGTCTTAGATGGTGTTAGGTGTCAAACTAAAAAAATAATCACCAGATTAGTTGAAACACAATGGTTTATTGAGTTTAATGAGTGAGATATTTTTGCCAAAATAATCAGTTACATAGTTGAAAATAAATTGAAATTGAAATATTTAATTAAATTGAAAAATCGAAAACTGAAAATAAAGGCCCATTAATGATATTAAGTACTCTATGATCTCTATGTTTTGAATCCATGTATCTCTATGATTTATTACAAAAATTTCCTAACAATGAATATGCCTATCAATCAACCATCTTCCAATGGCCAAAAGACATGCTGCTGAGTAAGACCAAGAATTTCCAAAGATACGTTTTCCTGTAAACAATAAAAACATCCCTTCTTTGCAAATAGGAAGTTTCAAATTCTATTAGATTCCCCAGTTCCACCAGCTGATACAGGCATCCCGCGCTAATCTGAAGGTCCTGCTCTTTAGTACAGCAACCCTGTATTTTGGTCCTGCTTATGATACCCTATATTTGGTCCTACTTCATAAAAGTCTAGAACCAAGAGCAGTCCTGCTCAATCATAGGAGCAGGGCCTTGTCCAAATGATCATCACAACATGTTATCAGCAGTAGCGATTTGATTGGTTGTGTGTTAACCTACATAGGCCAAAAGGCATTGTTTTGAAGACCTTTGGTCTCGCTATTTCTAAGAGCAGGACTGCGAGGATTGCCCTATGCAATCCTGTTGTGCTATGAGACACTGAGCTGAGAGTACTAGCAAGGAAGCCAGTTCAAGTTATGGCCAGACAATGTGGATGTGGAATTCCTGCTTGCTTCGGTGATACCAATGTTGGACAGCAGGCTTGCCTCAGTTGAGGTAAATAGATTTTATTTGTAACAAGAGAGAGTGCAAAGTTCACGAGAAACAACAAGGTCAACAAGGACTGTATGGCTTGTATGAGGCACACTGATTTGGGCCATGTATTACAAGAATTAAGAGGACAAAGACTCAGAGGATCAAGGGTTGGTTGATAAGGTTCTTTGGGTAAAGATTTCCATATTTGGGTAAAGGTAAAGAGCCTGCAGAACAAGAGCAAGTTTTTTATACTTGCACACAATATAGAAACTTGCCTTTGATCTTTATCATTGCAAATAAAGGGTTAAATTTTGGTTGCAGCCCTGAAAACTTAGAAGTTCATTAAAACTGCAAAGACTAGTGAGTGGAATCATTTGGGCTGCAAACATTGATGCTCATATAAACATGACTATAGAAGAATCTATATCACTTGACTGATATTGTGGATCAGATGCAAGTGCGAGAAATCAGGCAGAGCTGCAAGCATATGCAAGTTTTGTAGCAAGGCTGAAATTGAAATACTCTATAGTTTATTTCAAAATTATAAATTTATTGGTTTGCTATAATCCCTGCAGTGGCCTTCCAGTAAATAGAACACATTAAATAGAAAACGTTGGAAATGACATTGCACACAAGATTTCTAAACACATGTAGACAAAATTTATCCAGAAATTGATAGATTGCAAGTAGAACTGGTGCACGCATTTTCATCTACCAGAACATCAGACTGGCGCAACTGCAGAAAAGACCCGCTAAAATACAGCCGATGTTTTTTAAAGGTTTCGTGCTTGCCGCAAAACGGATCTAAATTGCAGACTGGGGCTTGACCGCCCTGCTCCCGCAGCTACCGAGACAAGGTCCTTTCATTTACGATATCGCGACTCGACAAACAATGATAAAGAAACACATAAATTTTCGCGTGCGGATTGACAACAAAACAGTAAGTTTATTTACTGGCGATTTAGCTAAAATCACTAAATATCAAAATTTAAATTTAACATAGAAAATATACTAAATAATTTCAAATGATATCGGATTACATATGTATCAAATGCCGGAACTCATTTTGCATGCTGCAGCCTTTATCGAACAAGATTTCCCCGGCTCGGGAATGCAAAAGAGACCAAAAGCTATATTCCGGAAAAATTGCTTTTACTACTTACCGCTTTCTGGAATTCCTAAATTAGGCAGACAAAAAACTATCAGGCTAAGGGGCCGTGCAAAACATCTCCACTACAAGCAAAACTGGGAGCGCCATCTTTGTATTCAGTCTCTCTTTCGTGGCTATCTCATTATCGTTTTACTATAAAAAGAATGATGTCGCATCGCAACAGGGGCTAAAGCTTTCAATTTGGAGAAAGTTATTTTGTTCGAGCATGATTCATGTGAGAGATAATTTGGTCATAGAAAGACCCAGAGCAGGTTTTATGAGAAAATTTTATAATCTTCACATTTCTGTTGAAAATTGATTGATTATCTCAACCTGTCGCTGGTAAATCAACGTGAATCAGCTTCTGAGCATGAAATTTTTTTTAGATAAATTGAGGATTCAAAATTGACACAATTATAAGAAATACAAATGCCGCCATTAAATGCCAATACTGATTGAACATCAGATAACGTTTTATATAACAACCATCCCACAAATGGAAAGAACCATGCCTTTTGAAGAAACAGCAAGGAAGCAGAGTGCACCGACCCTAGCCAATATACTGGTGGGGTGGTTACTTTAGGGGAAGAAACGAATAAGCCACCACCTTTGAATAAGTGGGGGGTGGGCAAGGCTTACAAAAGTAGGGTAAAAGGCTTCTTTCCCTTTTACTGCAGCTTTAAAACTACTTGCTTCGCAAAAGTGGGGGCTATAGCCAACCCTGGTGGCGTGGGCCCTGCCTTGACTACGCTCTCGTCCAAGTAATTTTTGTGAAATAACTGCTCCCCACCTTCGAATGAGCTCCCCTCGAAAAAGCTCCCAATTCAATATATATTTTTCAAAATAAGCCCTAGGGGCTTATTCAAAGACTTGTGTTATGTTTTTTGCTATTAGAATAACCAATCTAGGGCGTCTTTTCCTAAAATATGAGATTATCAATTGTAATTCAAAAATATTTTCTCCGATGTGAAATATTTGTTTTGTGTGCATGAACCGATTAAGGGTGTTTCTTACAACACTGTTTTGTCCTAGGGTCAATTCACACTTTTGCCAACAGAATACGAGATTTCCACGAAAAGAAAAGAAATTCAGGGTTTTTTAAGGCGTGATTTGCCCCTTGGCATTTTTTGCTCCAAAGCGCTGGTCCACAATGAGCAGGGGCGGATGCAGAAAAAAATCTGACATTCGCAAAGTTTCGACCACGCCTATATGACCACGCCCAAAAAAAATCAGTCAAATTTTACTATAGTCTCAGAATCGAAGTTTTCCACTTAAAGATGTATTTTTCCTTATATTAAGTTTTAGGATTAGGAAACAGAAAATGTTGAGGCTCAAAGGTTGAGAAATTTAAGGATAAATATTAAGAATAACAGCCAGGTCTGGATTTCATTGACAATTTGGCATTTTACTTATTGAGTGAACAAGAAAAGAGATCTCTGGAAAAATTTTGAGAAACACTCATCAAGCTTTTGTTGTGTTGGCATGTTTTGTTTCCTACATGGCTTTTGTGATGGAAAAACAGCAGCAAAGATTTGAAATGTCCTCTTAATAATGATTTAATGGCAAGTCTAGGCACAGAACCACAAATTGTCAAGAACAAAGAGGATGAGCTAAAATAAGGGTATATTAGATGTGTGTATCACCCCTTCTCAGGGAGAAAAACTCATGAAAAACATTTTATGTCACTCACTTAAAAAACAGCCATTTAAAGAAAGGAATCTTAGTTCAATTTATACAATTATATTATTTAACAATCAAATACTGTGTTTAGTGTAGAAATTTTCAATGCAATATCCACCCAAATGTTTGACTTCAACACCAAATACCTTAGGGGCTCAGAGCTTTTCTGTTATTTATTTTGTGCATTCACCTTTCTATCTAAACTGCTGTGTGATGTGCCTTAAACATGGCCAAAAATACCAGTTAGGTCAATACACATCATACAATTTTAGTATTTTCAGGTGTTGGTAAAACAGCAAATGTAACAGAATTTAAAACAATTCATTGTCTTTCCATAACAAGAACATCATAAATATATATTATATACAAATTTTGAATGTACATCAAACAAAGTCAGTAATGGCAAAGAAATAAGGCAAACATGGTAACTTTTACTATATGGATTTATATGAGATATTTACTTGGCAGAACCAACTTGCTGTGAATTTCTTATTAATAATGTAGTAATTCCCCCATTAGGATCATTCCTTACTACCCATATTTACATTTATTTACACACACAATTACATAGAAAAGAAAACTGTCAGTCACTTGCAAATTCATAAACAAAAATTAATGAATCTTAAGGGTATTTCAGAACCAAAAGTTTCAAATGGTATACTCTTATAAGTGTGGAAATCAAAATACTATTACAATTTCTCATTTACAAATATGGCAGTCTAGATTTTTCCAAAACTGACAGCATAAAATTAACAAGAAAAGAATACGCCGTAGAAAATGCAATATCTTATTCAAAAACAAATCCCCAGCACAGTCAAACTATTTACAGGTTTGTGATAATAACAACATCTATCAAAAAAATATCTAGAACTCTAAAATTCAGCATATTCAAATTCATCAAGATATTTATAGAACAGCATCATTCGTCAGAATGCTACATCATCATTATCAAGATATACCTGACTTGAACCCTAAAAGTTCTGATTGACAGCCTGCATAAAAATGGCTATTTACCTTAAAAAGCATCACGTATTCTTCAAAATATTATTTGAGTCTGAATCTCTGTCTAAATAACGTCCTCCATCATGAAAATGAAAACATAGGCAAAATTTTGGTTCAACAATTTTAGGTCCAACTGAACTGTCCTCGCATATTGCCATCTATCAAATTCCATCCATCAACCAAAATCTTCGACAAACTTTGAACATCTTCATAAGAAATCCGCTGATTCAAATTAAAAATCATCTTATATTTGACTCCTTTCACTCACTCTGAAGTACAATTGCTCCTCTTCTGCAAGCAAATTTCTCCACAGCTTTCCAACAACAATCATGGCCGTTGATGTGGAAACGAGGTTTCAATCTGCTCACTTTCCAAGGTTCTCTCCCTTAACTGGCTACCGAACATAGTTCGCATCTACCTTCGCCACATTCGCAAAAAAATTTCCCATATACATTTCCTATTGGTTTTCAGATGGCTAAATAACATAGCTTGACTGACATTCGCACAAATTTTTGGCATACATTTTTCAGTACTACTTCATTTGCGCACGCATGCCTAATATATTATAATTCCATTCGACATTCGCATCAAACCTTATTGGTGCTCTGTGAATTTATGCGTAAAAGGGGGAGCCCTCTTTCGAATATATCATCTCTAAATCACGAAAACGAGGGAATAAAACCTAAAAAGTAAACAACAAGGTGACATCATAGCAACTAGGGCAGGAAACAAAACTTTTATTTCTTGTATTCTGTGGACCTTTTTTTTATTAACTGGCCATTTCTAGTACAATATTCACAATGCTAAAATGTATTAACAGACAATTACAAAAAGACATGTGGAAATCTGACATTCGCCAGTGCGAATGTTGCGAATGTCTGGATCCGCCCCTGACAATGAGCATTCATGATGTTTACAGTTGGAAAAGGACAAGCGTTTAGCATTTTAGGCTGTAAATTCTTGTTTCCGTGGGTTGGAATTTATTGTTTAAATATTTTTGACAGCACGACTAGACAATTTTTGAGATGTACTGTGCGCGAAAATCTTACCTACATAAATTTGGTACAAGTGAATACCACTCGCTTTTTTCATCGTGCTAACGGCATATTTAGCAACGTTCAACTAAAAGGTACCCTTCAAAATTTTGTCTCGACGAATTAATTTTCTTGGTCATTCAAGAAGTAAGGTTTAGCCAAAAAAAATATTGATCAGATGATTTAATGCAAAATATAGCATTTGATGCCCTTTAGGGCAAGACACTTCAACAAAGGAAATGTTCCTCAAGCCGACATTCTCCGAATAAAATGACTTGACTGTGAATGAACCAGCAATTTCTTGAAATAAATACATTCCAGACGGTGAGAAATTCAGTTACAAGATGTCATGGTGACAAAGGAAGTTGATTATTAATCGCTTGTCTATCATAATTTGAGCCTTGAATTCAAGGAAATAGAACATTTAATGACACTTCGTCACTTGGCTGTGAACAAATCTAACGATATCCTGCGACAAACATTTGCTCATAATACACATAAACAACAATATTTTATACTGTTATTCATCAGTAGAAAATTAAAATGCAAATTTCATTGTTGAGAAAAGACGAAGGTTGTTTGTTAGAAACCGGTTTGCAAGGTCCAAGCTCCACAGGATTAAAAACTATTTCCGTCATTGCCGTAAATCCTTGTGACTTAATAGTAATATTCTTATTCTGTGATGATATAGGGTGTTTTTAAATGAGAGATGTTTAAAAATCGTCTTCCTATTGCCATACATATTTCTATATATAATTAATAGCTCCTAACTCTTAAGTTTTTTAAAATTATAAAAATAGATGCTGAATGAAAAAACAACTTGGTTGACGTTTCGCTGTAAGCTTCTTCAGAAGATATATATAGAAATATATATATGTAGCTCGTTTTGTAACCTTTTCGCAATTTTGCTTGGCATTTGTGAAATTTTTCAAAAATTTGAGTTTTCTGATGTCGTCAAAGATCATTAACGCTCATGACGTTGTTGCATCAATGGCGTACAACTCAATCCCAAGTTTACCTAGCCTTTTTCTAGACTGTCTAACTGAGCCCGGTTGTTGATCTTGCAGTTTTAGAATCTATCTACGAAAAAATTAAAGCCTCTATTGTGTAGACAGAAGGAATTCGTTCTCACGCGAAGGCACTAGTGGCGACATTTTCAACTGGCAAGTAGCTGTAACTCCTTTATAGTTACGTCCTCGGGTTTCTGATTGGCCTTATTCGATCCACAACTGGTTCCTTGTAAAAGCCCTTTTTGTCAATTATGTTAGGTTTCTAACTATATATTCTTAATATTTGGTTCAAATAATATGTAAGCACGCATTTGATTATAAAAAATAAATCAAATAACCCGTATTTACCACTTTCCTGATGTAAGGTTAGGTATTTATTTCTATTTTCTTATGTTGAACCTCATGCCCCTATTGGTGGCTAGAATAAAGGTGTGTTTCATAATTTTGATGACGCAACTTTGACAAACAATATAATCACTAATAATTGGTTATGACATAAAGCGATCAATAAAGATAATCTTTATAGCATTTCCTTCCTCTTTCAAGCGAATTCTTCTTCTTTTCCCATCTTTCGCAGATACTCTATTGGATTCCTCCAAAAATAGTTTTAATTTATTTCGTGCTTAAATCTTTAAAGAAAAATTTGAAATATCAAAGTTTCTCGGTTGATACTTCGTCCAAGTATCTTCGGCATTTTCATGCAGTGGCACATGTTGGGAATGTTTGATGACCCCTGCTTTTTTCGTTGCGACCGCAAGGGAAGTGGTCTTGCTGATGTAATGACATATCGTGTTATCATGACGCCTTGGCCTGATTATGATGTTGCGAGGTAGCAGTTCAACAGCAAGCAACTGATCGCTAGCTGACCATTGGCGAATACGCATGTTGATAACTTCCATCTCTAGCTCTTTAGCCTCACTTGACAGATACACAGATAAGGTCCCGTTCTCAGTTGCACTCGCACTCAGGGGGATCACTGCAGAGCTCTGATTTGTGACCAAGTAATGAAATCTCTGGTTAGCATGTCTGCAAAAGCAAACGCTTTCTCCATTGCACAGCTTCTTGACTCGAGACAAGTTGATGTCCAAGAGTACGTCACAAAAAAGTCGTTGCTTGGAAAATGGACCTCGCCTCAGCAAATTGAACTTGCATTGGAGGGTAAGTGTTTCTGTTTCAAAGGCTTCTGCTCAGTTTTTCTCTTTATCAAAATATTTCAGTTTTCTGTTTCTCTGCAAATTTGTGTCATTTTTCTTCTGTTGGCTCGCCTGTGTTTCAATACCAAATGATGAGGTGTGTCTTTTATTTGTAAACAACAACACCAAAAGACCACAACTGCTATGGAGAGCAATAATTTGAAGTACATAAAATACACCAGCTTCAATATCAGTAGAAGTTCACACAAAGGTTGTAAAGATGGAATTATGGAATCTAAGGGGGGGGGGAGGGGGGGAGTGGTGTTCAGTGTGACGGATCCTTTAGAACTGGCATACGTCAGCACATGCAAGTACCAAATTTCTTTAAAACTTAACATTTGTTAAACTACAACATTTATATGGCAAACCCTTTTTATAAGAACAATTTTGTAAGAAAACGAGCCTCAAATATGGCCAAAAGTTAAGAACAAATTAAGAGTAAACTGAGGCTTAGTTTCTGCAAAATGCAATTTTGAACAAGGTTTTTTCTCAAAATCGAGGATTTTTAGCGATGTGTGGGTGCTTTTTCAGTGAATATTCAAATTTGTCAGTAAATTAGGGTTGTCTCACTCACTTTTTTGGCAAATGAGGCCTGTACACCACCCTAGAGCGAAAAAGCTAGCACTCACACTGCTTACAACCTATTAGATTAAGAACAAATTAAGAACAATCAAGCCTCAGATCTTCGAAAAAATCAAGAACAGTCAGCCTGATTTCTAATTTACTGGTTCTTATAAAAAAGAGTGTAGTGGATGCAAGCGGTGGACGGTGCTTCTTTAAGTCTAGTACTGGTAAGCACCTCCCTTTTACTTACTTCTACCACAACCCTCTCGGCCTTTTAGAAAAATGTAAAATGGGCTAATTCTTTCGATGTGGTTCCGTCATGAGACAGCCATTGGTAGATTTCATTCAAGGTAACATTTTATTCAAAACAACATCGAGGTAACATAATTAATTAGCTTTTGCAGCGCAGCACAACACGAGCCTGTAGCGCATAATTATGGTTACAAATTTAAACCAATGGTTTTTTTAGGAGGAAGCCTGGCGACTCTCTATTCAAAATGAAAGAAACTATAACCAAATCGTCCATTATATTTTATGCACTTGAAATGAAATGCTATATCTGAAAATGGAATTATAAATGGAATTGATGAAAGGGTGTCTTCACAAATCTGTCCTACAATTCAAAGCCACAATTTTGTGAAATTCCTAAACTACTAAAAGGGCATCTTTTCATGAATATTTAGCGCTTTATACACACATTCCTATTTTTCTACAATCCTTTTTCACAATGTCCCAATATTAACCAACTTAGTTTTCTTCCTATTCAATCATTTCTTTAGTTATGTCTAAATACAAATCTATATAAATATCAAAGACCAAGGTATTTGTCTGACCAAACCCAAAACACATTAGTAATATTCTTTAAATCAAGCAAGGATAGATAAGCCAGTCCATTTTTTAATGATGTTCTTCCATGGAATATCCAGGAACCCAAACAGCTACTCTTTAACAATAAGATTGTTCGTAGCAAGTGGAAATGAAGCTGTTTAAAATTCGTTGTTCAAATGTCCAGATGAAATTTCTTTCTATAACCAGGCAATAGTCTACAAGAGTATAAACAAAGATTATTAAATTAAAACGAAATTAAAACGGGTTCATAGCTATCTCATGAATAGATATGAAAAACAGCATTGTGAAAGCCAGGCCTTCTCAGTCGTGTTTAAAGTGAGTATATCTGAAAAGGGAGAATCTACTAAATTAATCAAATACCAACGCGCGATGAAAGGAAAATATTGATTGTGCGTTTAAATGAAAACACATTGATCTCAAAATTAGAAATGCCTGTTTCTATTACTAGCACCACTTAACATAAGTTCAGGCTAAATAATTTGTGGTAAAGGTGGAATTTGCGCTTTTAAGCATTCTATGTTTATAATTGATCTATAAAACATCAAACGAACTAGGGTTCTAGATATGCAATAGAAAAAAGCCTCATTGGGACAAAAATTTTTGATATACGCAAAAAATAGTGGTTTAGCGCTGTTGGACGCGTTTGAGCTTCAATTTTTCAAATAAGAAATTTTGCTTTTGGACGCGTTTGCTATGAACTGTAATTAAAGTAACAGAGTTGCAAACAATAATGGTAGTTAATATGTTCATAGGCCAGGCCAGGCATGGTCGCATTTTTTCTGAATAAATACAATGCAAGAAAATATTCTGGGCAGAAATTTGTAAAGTGAAGATTTTCACCCAGAAGTGAAAATCCTTGTCTGGCGGGGACTGTCATTGACCACTCTATCTTCTCTTCCCTGGGCTGCTCCTTCTGCACACAAACTTAAATTGGATCGATCAGAATTGGCCTCGACCGATGAACTGAACAGCTGTTCACCATTGGCTGATAAAATTGGAAGACTAGCTTCTGCAAAAAGCTGTATTTAAACTCTCCATCCATTTTCATATCATTTCGAAACTAGTCGGCAACCTCAGTGTTTTTTACTAGTGTACACGTCTTCACACACAAGTTCACTTTATATTAGATATATTCTGAGCAGCTGGTTACAAGTCAGTATTGATATACATACTTTTTTGTAAGAAACCTAGCTCGTGGCCTACTTTTTGAAGTTCCTTTTTTCTGGACCTCTTTTTATGGAATTGTAATACTAAAATTTCATTAATTGTTCCTTAATTTAACTTTACATTTGGTGCAATGAAAATTGTAAAAAGTATATTAGAGTCTGTATCAGTGTTGTTAGATTCTTAACTGAAGCTAGAAACAAGGTGAGAAGCTGAAAGAAGACTAGAAAGACGTTTGATATATAGAAAAATGAAAAATTCAACCAAGAAAGAAAATGTAACAATATTTAGATAGAATTGAATAGTTTAAGTTACATCAAAACAACATAGGAAAATTACTCCAAGAGCTTCCTATATGCCTTCGGTGACGTATTTATCATGTCCAAGTGGAACATTCACTAGGTAATAAGATAAAATATGCCGTAAAATATCAAATTGCCAAGATAGTGTTTCATTTTCAGAAAGTTTAGTAATAATTAATGTTTTTACGGAAGACAAGAACGGAAGTAATAACACAAAGATAAAAACTGCAAGTTATGGTATAAAATCTATTAGCTTTTTCGGTCCAAAGATTTGGAATTCTCTTCCAAGTGAAATAAAATCATCCATAAATGCAAGTCAATTTAAAGTTCTTATAAAAGATTGGTATTTCGAAAATCAATGCGCCTGTAACGCTTGCAGTCAATAACTTCCATAATGCAATCTCTTAAATTGCTTCATGCTAGTGTTTATCAGTGTTCACACTATTGTCAAAATAGCAGTAAAAAAGGTATTATTATTATTATTATATAAATAGCCAAACGTGAGGAAGAAGAGAAATAACACTTTAAGTGCAGGGAAGAATATATAGAGAGTAAACGAGAATGAATAACCAAAAGACCTCTTATCAGTGAAAGGTTTGTCAAAAGACAAATTTCCTCTAATCATCGACCCGTGCTCCTCGCTTAGAGCAAAAGAGCATGCGCATTAGCTGTCGAGTCCAGTCCCATTGACTGCCTTGTTTGGGATGGCTCATTCAACATAATGATTCCTTTCATTCGTTTAACTCACAGTTTGGTACAAATTCTGGACTGTACTTTTGCTTCATTGAATTAATGCAGCAATTCAATTCGAAATGTTTGTAGCTCCAATTGACCTAAGTAGCTGCAACATCTCAAATAAAGTCCTACATACCGAATCAAAGAAATCATGGAGCGCACGTCACATAAATACGGACTAAAATTGTCCGACAAATACACTTAATCGATCTATAATGCTCTAAAATGCGCAGGATTATGTTAGCCACAAATATGTCAATTAATCATAATAAGGAAATATTTGCAAATTACTTTCCGTCCTTTGAAATCCCCAAAACTCGTGAAAAGCCCTTGGGAATTTTCACAGATCACGATTTTCACATATGACTCAACTCTAGGATAAAGTCGTTAGAAACGCTATGCAGAATCATAAGCAGAATGTGCCTTCCTGCAATCTAAGGAATGGAATTTCTTCCTGCATTCTAAGAAATGGAATTTCTTCAGATGTTTTTTAAATTTCTGTAAAGGACGAACTCATTGCTATGGAAAATCTAGGATTGTTATGCATATCCTTTGTGGTAGTCATACATTATTCATTCCATTTGATGCACCAAGCATCTTACCTATTCATTTGCATATTGTTCGATGTAACTGCACCACCCTCGGAGAATAACATACACAATGAAATTTTAAGAATCAGTTTAAAGTGAAAACCTGTTCTGTGCCATTCTTACTTAGACTTAGTTCCACCCCTGATTTTCTGCACATCGGGCAATAAGCAATTTCAATTTTTTGGAGGTTTGAGCCTCTTCTTAGGACCCGCGTCACGAGTTTGAAAGTTGGGGGACCAAGACCAGCAAAAAAAGAGGGCCAAAGCTTCTTTCTTTTATTGCAGCTTTGAAACTACTTGCTTCCCATAAAAGTGGGGGCATGGCCACCCCGGCCCCCCAGTGGCGCGGGCCCGGATTCTTCAACATCTTTCCACGATACGTCCAGATCCCCAAGTCGCACTACAACGTTCTTCGCCAGGTGTTGCGAGGTCGTCCAGTCAACTCACGCTCAGCAACAGTTCCTTACAGTTCTGTGTCATAAGCACTTTAACAATCTTTTCAAGTCCAATGATATTATAAAATTTTAGGCTCTGACATGCAAACAACTGAAGCAAATTCATTGAATTGTTTTTCTTTAGTTTCTTCACTAGGGTTTACTTTATGTAGACAAGCTTTCAATGAAGATTTATTTATTCATTTAAAAATCTTAGTAGCAAGTATTTTAAGTTTTGGGATAGTTACTGGGACTAGAAAATGTCTGTTATCATTCTAGAGACACTAAAGTATGTTGGGACAGGAAAAAAATCGGAAAAAGCCCCAAAGCCTGAAGACATTAGTCGAGGCTGTGAAACCGGTGGTAGCTCGCAAAGGCAAATTTCTCCGCCACTGAATGGAAGAAAGGCTGAATCACACATGTCACAAGTTCGTTGCGATCTCGAAATGAAAACTTTGTGGCAGGAATTCAATGCTCTTGGCACTGAGATGATTGTCACTAAGGCAGGAAGGTAAGCTCTCTTGTTTTTAAATTTGGCTCTTCATCTCTCTTTAGATAGTAATTCATTTTTGAATGTGTCAGTGATGATTATTATTGAAAAAAAAAACAATTTAAAGGGAAAAAAATATTGTCAAAGAAATCTTGAGGAATCGTGATGGAACTGCCTTCTGAACTAAGAGCGAAAAATGACAGAGAATAATTTAATTCGTCAGTCAGCCAGTTATTGCTTATTTTGGCTAAAGATGTCGCAGATTCTACGGATTGGCATTAAGATCCAGTTTTTACGCCTTTAAGAAGAGTTGGTCGGTCCTACTTTTTGGGGTTGTTCTAGACCAAAGCAATGACTTTGAAGTAGCCTGTCTCAGATCGTCTGGTTCTAAAGCGCTTTAAGTAAAAAGTACTAGATTTACATCTTTGAATATTTGTTCCAGGTATCATACAAAACGTTGGCAAACAAGGTTAAAAATTGATCATTTTCAATCACAACACTGACAGACGGTGTTCTCTCATCATTTGGACCATTTATTTTGGGTGGTCGGTGCGCCAATTGCTAAGGTGGCGGTAAATAAAACCCCAACCGTTTTTAGGGGGTTGGGAAGAAGAACCAATAGCTTGTTTTCTTCCGCTGACTAGCAACACCTTGTTCATGCAAAACGTCGCAAGCCATATGGTCATAAAAAAATGCACGACGATAAGAAGTAGAAAGTTAACATGCATATAAAAATCTGAAAATACTTAGACATGGGTTGGGTGGGCATGGTCGCAAGGCAAAACCTTCGCTTTCCACAACTCAACTTACGGTTTTTTTTAACACGTGATTTAATGAAGCTGGATGTTGCCAAGAACACCGGCCATAGACATTTCTCGCTTTCGTCCTGAGCTTCTTTAGATTTGAGGGAATACAACTCCCATAAGCATACAAGCCACAAAGAACAAAGGGTGCTGGCCTAATAGCATACAAGCCTTGTGATTATAAAATTTTTCTGATTTCTAGTCATCCGCAAGATCTGAAAGAAATAAAAATAATGTGATACCTGCAGCATGATTTTGTTAGTTTCGGTTAGCCCGGAAATGGGAGATCCTAAGGCAGTGCAGGATTGAGAAGAGAAAAGATGAAAATATTTGTAAGAAACTGTTAGGTGTTTTTTAAAAATGTGGCCCTTGAAGGTTTATTTGGTATCCCTGTGTAGTATTTTATTATAAAAAATTGCTGTAAGGAACGAGTATAGGATAATCGGAAAAAATATTAAGAAACTTCAGTTCTCGAAGCAAAAAGCAAGAAAATTTGAATTTGTTTTATGATATTTATGTCCGAAGATTTCTATCATGTACTTTCTCTTGGGAAGTTTATTTTTATTCTCTGTGTCTAAAATTCTATGGTGGACAACATTCCAATCAATTGGTGGAACAAACTAAAGAAACTTTGAGGATTTTCTTTGTAAAGATCACCTTAACAAATTTCCAGTACAACATTTCCTTGCATGAATCTTTAATGTTGGATCCCGGATGCTCGAACCAATGACACCAGTGGAACTCAACGCTGACCTTTTTTTATCTAAACAATGAAAGTTTGCTTGATGACATTCAGCCCCCAGCAGCCACATGTCCCCTGCTCACTGTCCCAAACCCTCTTCAACTGCACCTATAAGCATCGTTCTGTTCTAAGAGGACCCTTTCTTTAAAGAGAAAACGTTTTCTTTTTATCTGCAATTTTCTGTGGATGTTTATGACGGAGCATCTTCATTACAAATAACCTTTTCTACGTATTACCCTTCCCTAATGAATCCCTTAGCTAAAGAATGTGTAACCATGGCCCGCGCCACCCCATACCCCCCACTTGCGAAGCAAGAAGTTTTAAGGCTGCAGTAAAAGAGGAAAGAAGCCCTGGCCTTTAAAATTCGTGACGCGGGCTCTGGTATAGGTTGTATATTGGTTTGAATGTGTTGATGGACCATGTAGTTCGAGTTCACGTAACGGCCATTTTACGAATGATAAGAGGTTCTCAATCCCATGAAGACGTGTTACCGTAACAATTATGCACCTTGATCCGAAAATCGTGATTACTATGTTGTCAGCTCGATTTCCGTTGAGGTTCTTTGACCAATATCTGTTCTGTACCACGTCCAGATCCATCAACAGCAGTGGTTGTAAGGAAAAACTTGTTGAGCCATTTACGACTTACTTTAATTATGTGGCAGTTTAATGGATTGAATAAGTTCCAATAGGTTAAGATTGAATGACACTTTGATAATCCTTTTCTCAGACACACACAAGGTCCAAGGTATTGTACCCACGCAAAATAATTGATCGCTCAGACTGATAATTCTTGCAAGGAAACTGTGTTTTTTCTATCTAATAATAAACATACAATCTTTATAGGAATCCAGTAAACTGAAAATCAGGCTGTCTGTAAGAAGAATGCTGCAAGTTCTTAATTTCTCGACGTCTTTGTGAGGCTCGATTGTTTTTGATAGATCAGTTGGGTGTAACAGTGCAATCGTTAGTTATAGTGCTCAAGGGGAGTGTCCAGGCCCCCTTGCCAAGTGAGTGATAGAAAATTCCATTTGCAGAGAATTTTGAACATTCACAGAGAATGCAATCCTAGATGGCAAAAAACAACTGTGTTAAGAGTTACATTTCACAGTTGGGAAAGTTGGGTAGGTATTTTCATCACATTTTGATGCTTTTGAAAAAATGTTAGCTTGGGCAATTCGTCATCTTTCCCTATGAGATGCACAGTGACACGAACATCCAGATCGAAAGGATAACATGATATCATTAACGGAAAGGAAAACGAACACCATTGACGACGAGAATAAAATCACACACTATTGTCAAATCAGTGCTTTTCGACAACATTCTTTGTGGGAAACGAGTCATTTCGAAATTTCAGAACAAGATTAAATTAAGATGTGGTACTTTCTCGAGGGATTGTTAACATCTTTATTTCATCAGCATCTACATTTTGTGAGAGAAGAGAAAGTGGTGTGCTCTTTAAATACTTCACTTTTCTACATGAAATATTCAAGAAGATTAAAACGTCCTATTAGAAATAAACCCATAAATTAAAGGAATGCTGCATACATTTAAAGCGTTTACACTAAGATCAATCACCGCGCTTTTACTATTCAACATGTTTTCGATTAAGAAAATTGTAAGTATATGTTGAGAAGTGAAAATTGTATTTTTCGCGCTTAATATTTCAAGTGAAGAATTATTGATTAAGACATCCTTCCAAATTTTATGCTAATTCCATCTTTCCCAACTGTTTTATGCTAATTTCAACAAAGTAGTTACACTGCCAATAAATACACAGTTTAAACGGCTCACGTTCATTTAAACATTCACTGTACCTCTATATATCTCTTTCATATTTAGAAATCAATAGATTACGGTTCAGGCGAGCTGTTTCAGGTTTTGAAAAACTTTGAAGTTGGATTGCTCTTGGCTTTTTTATTAAATAAGACGTTTTTTATAAGGAACCTAACTCGTGGCCTTGTTGTTGGTTGAAGTTCCTTATTTTTGGACCGCTATGGGCAAATTGTAATACCAAGTGTTAATTAATTATAACTGCATGTTTGATGCCATGAAAATAGCACAGACGCAAGGTAAACATAGGAATTCTGGATTTCATTTTTAATTGTGGCTAGACACCAAAGCCAAAAACACAAATAAGGCAAGAAAAACTGTTTGCAATTATAAAATTATTCTAAATTGAAAAGTCCATTAAGAGATTTTGTCTTTAGAAGTATAAGTTGTTTGATTTTCGAACTTCCACATGTGGGTTTCTTGTAAACGTTCCTAATAAAAAAGCGTATCCTATGGTGTTACTCAAAGAATTTATAAACGAGACAATATTTTGCGGTAGAAAACCGTTGGATGTGCATAATGCAGGTAATGGTTTTATTAAAATCTGCAGAATGTTAACAATGAGCGATGCTCTAAATGAAAATGTTCTTACCGATAAGTCTCCTTAGTAATAATTTACTTTGTAATGCAATCTTCTTAAATTAATTCTCTCAATAAAAATGTTGCAACAGCACTTTCAAATTACACATGGTAGCAAAAATTCTTCGAAATTACTTTTCGCTGTGCTTCAGCGTCAGCATGTTCTTATATTGTTCTGAAATTGTGATCAATTTTGAGCCTTGTTTTCTTGTTAATTTGTTCTTATAAAGTTAGAGTCGTTTTTGACCGTTCTTAATTTTCCAAACCTCTTTGGCTGGATTGTTCTTAATTTTGTTCTTAGGTTATTAGGGTGTAAGCAGTGCAGTTGCTTGCAATTGTGCTCAAGGAAGGTTATATTGACTTTTTTGCCATTTGCCGGCAAGTTTGAAAATTCACCGACAAAACACACCGAGATGGTAAAAAGCTCCTCGTATTTGTCTTTGAAACTTCCATAATTTTGATAAAAGTTACATTTTACAAAACCTCAGCGTCAACTTTTTCTAACTTTGTTCTTTGCGTTTGATCAACTTTGATGCCCGTGTTCTCATAATATTTCTATTTTAAGAAGTTCAGTATACTGCTTTGGCAGTTCATAGCATTTTCCTACTTTCTTGAAGAAACTAAGTTAGCAAAGTTCCGTAAACCTCTTCGTTGAAAAAATCAATGCTGCACAAGGGATGAGCAGCAAAGCAAGTAAACCAACTATGATAGTTTAGTGTTGTAGAAAGCTGAGCATTTATTTTTATATTCGCTACAATAAAAACTACTAAATTACTTATATTGCCTATAAAATAATTTTAATAATACTCTTTTTTAATAATATTGTTCTGACTTAAAATACGACGTTCCAGTTCTCTTCTGGCGATTATAACGATTGTATCGCAAATTATCGTTTTACGCAAGTCTGTTCTTGCTGTTCACAGTTATCACACACTTCAGCATACAGCTTTTCGTTCAACTCAAGGACCACCTTTGTCCTTCTAAATTAGCAATCTTCATGCTACTTAGTTAACCATAATTCTCCTCTTCTCAAAAGCCTATTATCAACACAAATTTCTTTTCAAAATATTGTGTTACAATTGGTTTGTCGCATCAAGGGTTATCTATGATTTGATGACATATGAATGCAAGCAAAGAACCTGGGATTATACACATGGTCCAGGAAACAAGTGGACAGCGTGGCTATGGAGATTTACACATTCTTAAAAGGATTCAAAAAATTAATATAGTTTGGCATGGGCATAGGCAAGATTATTATAGATTACTTTGTGTAGCTCAACTTCAACATTGAAGGAATAATAACTGTGATTTATCTCCGGAGGGGTTTTCTCACTAGGACTAATTAGATTATTTCGACAGGTGTCCTTGATTTATTCACCACGAGTGCTTTTTTGGACTTTATTTATTGGCGTAAACTGCTTTTTGGTTCTCGCGTTTCGCAGTTAGCAGCTATTCATTCTTTTTGGTCTATGAATCATAATTATCCCCGAAAACTGTTTAGATTTCGTTCTCAAGAGTAGATTTGTGATTTGAATTCCTCAGATTACGAATGATGGTTAGGATAAAGTGTTCGATTTTCTCGGGTTCACTTTTTTATAAGAAGAGTTACATATGAATAGGGGGTTTGAAAATCAGTCAAAAATTGACAAGGAGCTTAGAGAAAGCTGAAGTTGAGTTTACGCTTTTTGTAAGTAACTAACTAATAGAGGCTGTCGATGAAGAAAGGAGAATTTTTATAATGTTCAACCAAATCAATCTGCTCAGCTAGGATTAGAAATTCGTCGATCTGAAGAATAACTGTAGTTCAAATGCCTCACGGGAAATAATACTGGTACTAGGTCATTCTTCAAATTTTGCATCAGCCTTCGTGTGAAATCTACTTTTCCGTAAAACTAAGCAAAACCATGTGATATAACAGAACTATATGATATGACATCAACAGGCGCGTCAACTAATGACACCAAAATATTTGGTTGGCACAGAAACTCTTTCGTGTTGATCAATGAAGCCTCTACCAAGCCTTTTATTCTAAATTTGTTAAACCATAAACTTATATTGCCTATAAAATAAATATGGAATGATTGCGATTTTTTGAGGATACGTACACTCTTATTTGGTGCTGCTATTTCAAATTAAAATCCCTATCATTGGTAAATTACAGCATACACAAACAGATCCTCTTTATTTGTGATTAGAAATACGTTTTTTATAACAAGCTAAGCTCAGGTTAAGTAATCATTTTCTATTTTTTAAAAATTTTTTTGAGAGAATTATCTGTACTTCCATTTTTGCAATCTTCGGAAATCAGATTTGTAAAGAAAGATATTTGTTAGACAAAATGCATGACATATAGCAAAGTTGACCATAAAACTTAAGGCCGTGCATTAAGCAACTTGGCTCGATGCCTGCCTCGACAGTTCCTTAACATGTCTGTAGGCTCAGCATTCGACGTCCATCCGACCAAATTGATTAACAAAGAATCTCAATTCTGCAAATTTTCAAGTAAAAGGAAACCCTAATCACAACATTGATTTGAATAAGTACGATGGAAGATTGGGCCTACTTTTTGCAACCCAATCAAATGTTCAAATTTTCGTGTTTAAATTGAATTATGCTGTTATTTTGAAAAAAATATTTGTACTTTACCGAGATCTGGTGATTTTGAAAGCTACGGAAAAGACAATATTAAAACCTAGTGGCAATTTCAAGTAGTATTATTTTTAAGAACTCCAGTCAGAATATATTCCTTTTACCATAATTGTACCTTTCTTTGGTATGAATTATATACATTTGAAAATGCGCTATATAGCAAAGGATCGAAACAAAAAACCTGTCTTTTATTTTTCTTAAGAAAGTGAAAATAATTAGAAACAAAACAAAAGTTGCTTCCAAAACCAAGGAACAATGGTACATTTTCCAGAAAAATAATTGCTTTAATGATACTCTTCCTAAAGTGGAGTTTCTTTTTTATCTATTTCGAAATACCTAAAGAAGAGTTGTTTCAAACAACACGTTTAAATCATCTAGTTAATAGAGTCGATGAAGCAGTCTCGATGGGTGTTGCCATGTCTTTCGAGCGTGTTGTGGGCGTGATCCAAAAAAATTTCCATGGGCCTCAGTCCAAGATTTTTGTGTTTCTCCCCCCCCCCCAATTTAACAGTTGAGTATCCGCCACCATGTTTGTTGATGCAGTGATTAACAAGGCTTTTCAATGTGTATATCTGATATTGTGAAATAATTCTTCAACTAATTGCTCATTTTAGGCTGCTCAATATTGATCAATCATTCTTTGCTTTGCTATTTTACGACTTGATTTCATCCCACATTCAATCTCTTTTCTCTAGGAGGATGTTTCCAACATACCAGATTCGTTTATCGGGGATGGACCCGAATGCAAGATATGTAATAATGATGGATTTTGTCCCTATTGATGACAAAAGATATCGCTATGCCTTTCACAGTTCAAAATGGTTAGTCGCAGGAAAAGCTGATCCGGCAGTACCGGGCAGAGTTCATGTGCACCCGGACTCTCCGAACACTGGATCCCACTGGATGAAGCAGGCAGTGTCATTTGACAAGCTGAAGTTAACCAACAACATAATGGACAAAAACGGACATGTAAGCTTATCTAATAATTCATTAGCGTACACCTGAAACAGCTTTCCGAATGTCTGTAGCTCTGATCATACTTTACCGGATTCATTTTAATCCGGATTTCTTTCTATTTTGGGTAGGCGTCTTATCAAACAACAACGCTTGAATCCAATATATTATTCCATATCGTTTTGTTGAGTGATGTCATTCTACATTGATATGAGGGTATATCAGATTGCTTTTGGGCTAGCTCGAACTCATAAATCTGATATTCCCTCAACATTTTCGTTTTCCTGTGCTGTCTTTTCAAATATGTAATCTTATGCCCGAGCTAGACGACACTGGATTTCACTTCGGGTTGCCCAAGCAAAATAAAAAGACGAGAGGTCAAAGGGAAGGCTTGCGTAGAAGAGTAGAACCGGTGAAAATCATTCTGGACTGAGCGTTTATACGGGATAAAATGCAAAGCGAATTATCTCGGCCTGATTCTTTCTTCATGTAAAAAGCGGAGAATCGTTCACTCCGGTTTCGCCAAGCAGAGCGCTTGAATCGCCTCGGTGTCTTGTAACTTAGGCCATATTAAATAGCTATTACTTAAAAAGGTTTTGTAAAATGAACCAGAACCGAACTGAACTGAACCAGTAGCGGCGCCACGGAACGAGTCTCCTATTTCTCGGCAGGATTAATTTTGTATTTCGTCTAAATTCGATATTTTGGCAACTTACCTTTTGTGATGTAATCCTGTGATTTACAAATTGCCTTTACGTAAGCAAAGGTTTCCTTCAAGTGCAATTGGTGTTGTCTGGTGGTAAAAAGGGCGTGGCCTAAACAAATTTCTGCTTTATCCCCTCTATGTCGGACTCAATTGGCGTTTTCTGTTGCGTAGAGGCTGGCGCCGCCATTGAACTGAATTGAAAAAGTTAGAACTAAATGGTAGAGACAGCCGTTGGCCGTAGAATTGATATTGCTTTGCTATGGACTTTGCCCGTGAATTTGACATTAAATGAGTTCGATACAAAATGAGTTCGATGCGCTGTCAGTCCGAATGAATCCGTTCTGATATTCGTGAATGCAAGAATCGATAAAGACTTCTTTTTACACAAATACAAATAAGTCTCGCCCTTTAGTGCACAATCTTATAAACAGAAAGACCGTATGACCGGGGTATTGATTGAACCAAATTCATAGTGAGAACAAGTTTATAAAGGCAAATACGTACAAATATTTCATCTTTGGTGTACCTCAGCCCTCTGTTGCTGGAACCATGCTATTCAATATTCATGGTTTGAATCTGACTTTAAATAGGCTTTGGCATATGAAAAATAGGATTTGCATTAAAAGGTCCTTATCTTTTTGTGTGACGGCTTCAAATTATTTTCAGCTAAAAATGAAAATGTGATACCTATTTTACGTTACGTTTCATCAGTTTGGAGTATAATTTCTTAATTATTGCTGCTTTCAAAAGCATTTAGGCAAGAACAAAACTTCATCAAAGGTCCTCCCAAAACTTGTGATTGCTGTACATGTCCCGACGGCTGGCTGTCTTTCAGTTACAAATTAAATAGCAAACGGTGCCAAACTGCAATCATAAGAATCATAAAATGATTTTAAAGACTATTTTCAAATGATTTTTGTTCATATTTTGATTGCACTAGCATATTGGGTTTTTCCTTCAAGATCATTCTGAACTCGATGCACAAATACCAGCCTCGTCTTCATGTGGTAGCGTGCGATGGTGAGGCCAACCTGCAGGTTGATGCCATTAGCAATCAGAAGGTGGAAGATATGAAAAGAGACATTGTTCGAATGTTCATTTTTCCTGAAACTGAATTCATGGCTGTTACTGCTTATCAAAACCACATGGTAAGAATTTTTTTAGACTTTTTGATTAATTTATTCCTTATTTCACAACAGCTTAACACTAACGACAGCTTTTTAAACATGTATGTTTAGCTTTTACATTCAAATGTCAACATTCTTTCAGGTGCCACTGATCTAGGAATTCTTTTATATCTGTCCACGGTTGCATAATGCATCTGTTAGCATTTCGTTTGTTAGACACAACATTCACTCTAAATTTTTTTTTTCAGATTACACAGCTTAAAATTGCTAGTAACCCTTTTGCCAAAGGATTCAGAGACTGTGAGGCGGAAACGTGGTCAGTTGTCTAAAATCTACATTACATTGTTTGCAAAAAATTTTGTTTCTATTGTGTAAATAGATTTTAAGTTAAAGTCAATTAACTTTCTTCCGGCTAAGCGGTGGACCATTGGTTGATCTCTTTCTAGTGATATTGAAGACCTTGGAAAAGTTTTTTTCTACAAATAAAAGTTGCGTCCTTACTCATTCAATCAGTGATGCTACTGTGTCTGTTGTCAAGCATTTTTATATTCTGTTGTCTAATTTAGCAATCTGCTTTGATTGTTTCAGTGTAAACCAAGTGATGAAGCGTGTTCCAGCCGGAGGAAAATTATATGCAAGCCAGTCACATATGGAAAACATGACAGCGTTGAGTGGCAGCAGCGCAGTTTATGAAAGTACGTCAGTATATGTTAAATGTTTGCTCATCATAATATGACATTTTTGTTTTTAGGAAAATATTTGCTAAATCAATGTCTTAGTTTATTTCAATTTCAATGATATAGAAACAACAAGTTGGAAATAATGGACAAAAAGCAAAGCCTTCGAAATTCTCTGTGTGATATTACTAATCATGCTCCAGTTACACTTGCATTTGCCTTTAAAGCCCTGGCAAACTATTTTAAGTAATTAATGTCTTAATAGACAAAGACATTTGAATAGAAGCACATTTTCAGGAAAAAGATAGAAACTTTTTATAAATATGACATATTTTCTATTAGCATTGTTTATTCTCTGAAATTTTTGTAAATGAGCCTAGACCTATTCTTGGACCTTTTTTAATTAGAGCAACGACATATTAAAAAATGGTTCTTTTTTTTAAAAACCCACTTAGAGCTCGCGTAGAGTCGAATGCTTACTCGCTTATGAAAATTATCACTTCTATTAATTAGTACTTTGAAAAGCAACGTGTCTTCAGAACATGCAAAAAACTCTGATTAACAGGAAATTATATTTATTTAGCTTTCATTCCAGATTTTATCCTTATTTTATACTTGAATCATAGCAATTTTGTGTCTGAAATTTCTTATTACTTTCATTCGTAAAAAGTTACTCTATCCCAATCTAATTCGGATACCTATTGCCAATATGAATATTTTAAGGAAAGGTCAAACCACAAGGCGACTGGATGTGACCCAGAGCTCGCTTCTACGATGTCTAACCTTTCTTGTTAAAGTTCAAAGTGTGTTTGAAGATAGAATGATTTTTGGAAAGAAACATTATTGACCAAAACATGTCTATTGGCCGTTTATTATTGGATTTTGATTATCACGATTTTTGTAGCAGTTACTAAGGTCTTTCTTTGAAACTATGATTGCATTATGTATGGTCTGGTTATTTTGTTGCTTTTCTACAGGTGAGATGGGATATCAGTCCTCTTTGCCATCCTTGTTTACCACTCAGCACTATCGATACTCTCAGAACATGACGTCAAGGACTGACCATTGCTGCATTCAAGGAACTTCACCAACAAGCCCTGTCTCTCCATACTACCACCCAGAATCGCCTCCCGCCAACTTAGCCTACCAAACTAAACTTTCGTCAAACACGCAGTCACCGACCAATCGATATTCGCCGTATATCTCACCTTATGTCCGAGCAGTAGACTACATCACTCCATCTCAGTATGCCTGATGCTTATGTCCTGTTTGGTAGCATTGTAAGCAGAAATTCTATGCCTAGGGTACTCTCATTCTTTGTCTAGGCCACTTTTTTAAGAAATAGTGGCTTTATGCAGCTAAGAAAAAATTGATTTTAAAATCCACGGATTCTAATAGAATAGATTATTCTTATAAGAGGCCTGGATATTTCTGAGAAGCAACATTGTCTGTTACCCATGGAAATTCTCACCTGCTTTGCAAAATTTCCCTCGATTCGACATTGATTTAGTCTTTCTATTTGTTAATAGTTTCAGATAATGTATGTGTTTATCAGACTGAAGCCAGTTATTATATGTTTTCGTCAGAGCAAAAAATTAAAAGGAAAAAAATATGGTTGTATAGTAAAACAAGTTTACAGAAATGTGAATTTTTTCATTAAATGTAGATACTTCTATGTAAAGTCGAAAACTTGGTGGATATTTAGTATGATTTTCAAAAGTTTAGTGCGTGATTAATTGCATATGTATATATGAATTGTGAGAAATAAAAAAGGAAATATTTTACTTCGGTCCAATATGGCGGCCATTTCTGTGTATGAGTCAGGTCTTACCGATTTCAAATGTTCTCCGCAAAATCTCCATTGGTTTTTTTACCCATTGTGAGGGGACACAATCCAGTGATTTTTGCGTTCGTATTTGCTTGTTAGATTAGACTTTGCCAAATACAAAGGTTCTTCAACCGGCCTTGTTTCTAAGTTTCATCTAGTTAAAGAATATTCTTATTTTTGCCCATGCGGACTATTGATAAACAAAAGTATGGGACATTTTAAGGTGTTACGGTAAATATCATATTCGACGACCACGGGCCCGGTTTTGTAAATAAGGAAATTTGTCAACAATGCCTTTATGCGCAGAGTAATGCATTTAATAAGGATTTCTCAACAGCTAGGAAGTTGCCTTTTTGCTTCACATTTGCCTCCAGCCCTTAGATTAAGAAGCCTTAAGTTCAATTTACTGGCTCTAATAAAAAGGGGTACAATTCGATAACAAAACGAAATGATATTGAGACAGTCTGTGTGAGTGTGAGCAATTGTGGCTGAAAGTGATTTGGCGATCCATGCAGGAAACTTCACTGAACCACGTTAAGAAGAGCAAAGCCTTGCACTGAATAGAAATTCGAAGAGTAATACAACCATTAAGTTCAAATTCATGTCCGTTTATGGTTTATTTATTCACTTCCTATAATAACCAAATATGCATACGAGGCATGTTTATCAGTGTCGTGGGAACAAGATTGATATTGGAGGGGGGTCGCCTATTGAATTGTTTCCCATTCAGTACACTCTTATAAAGCAAAAATAATACACTTTGGCGATAATTCGGAGGCCCCAGTATCCCTAGCTCCCCCGCGTCCCCCGTGTTTATCAGTTTATCATTGATCCTTAGTCAGATAACTAAGGGATTGTTGCAATGCAAATAACTGCGTCGGATGGTCAAGTTCTAGAGCGTTATAAATGTTCCACTTATTAGCGAATAGCTGAACACGAACCTATTCAAAATCTGAGGTTTTGACAGCCTTTAATTCCCTTTTCTCGTAATAAGTACAGGCTATTTAAAAATGATACAATTCGACCTGCGGGTCATCTCTACTATCCCGCTGCCGTCGGGACACTTGGCAGGAGCTAAGCTATATTTTTACAACACTGTCTAAGTTGGTGAACTAGAGACACGCCTCAAGCACTGAGTGGTTAGCAACCTGATAATTCTTGATGATGGCTTCCATCTGCATAGGGCTAGCTTTTGTGTATATTCTTGTAATAAATTGATAGCTTGAGTGGAAATGTGACACCTCGTTTACTCATCTTCTGCTCTCTTTGTAGAAGATCCAGTTTTTGAGTCATTGAAATTATAAAGAGAGCTAATGATCAGATAGACTCTATTTATTTCACAACAGTTTCCGAGAGTCTTTAATGCAAGTTCACACTTTCGAGAAACTGCGTGTGGCAAATATTATAAAAATTAATTCAGCTTAAATCTATATCAATCTTAATGAGATCAATATCTTTTACAAATGTTGAGAAAACAGAATGGTAGGGGAAAAGGAGATCTCACACTCGATCTGACTCCTATCGCCCGAGACAAAAGGCTTAACCATTTGTGCAAGCCAATCAAATTCGAAGGTACATGAAGCTTGCGTATTTTAGCGAATGGTCCTAGAAAGTGACAGTCATACCCCCCTCAATATGTCAAGAACGCTAATTATAGCAACTGTGCCAAGTTAAAAAAAATTCTCGGCAGTTTTGCGAAGGTTTCTCAGGGACGTATTTTCATTTACGATTTCATTTAGTGGTTTCATAGGCTGAACTTTGTAAATAGTCGAAGAAATGTATGTCTTTTGGTGTTTGTAATCGATTAGGCTGCTTTTGCTCTAGTGTCAGAGATAGTTCAAATCACTTTGTGCTGTTTCATATTAAGATCCCCTTTCCACTACAGAAAGAAAAACGGAACTCCTTTAGTTCCATTCTTGTTTGGGCACGATATCTCTTTTTTCATTGCGTTAACACTGAAGCAAAAAGGAATGGATCCAAATTTATTTCCGTTTACACTTGGGTAAAAAGAACGGAACTTTCATGTCAACGAAAGATCTCAGTTGATATCATCCTACAACCCCTCTTGAACATCATAAATGAATGCATTATTCAAGAAACTTTTTCACTTAAAAAAGGCTATAGTCTCACCTGTATATATGAAAAAAGATTTTTTCAATAAAGAAAATTATCAACCAATAAATCTACTAACGACCTTTCAAAGGTATTTGAAAAGGCAATGGAGCTTCAACTTTCTAAATTTCTTGAAGAAAAATTTTCGAAATTCCTATGCGCATATAGAAAAAAGATTTTTTCCCAGCATGTTCTTTTTAGACTTATTGAAGACTGGAAAACAGAACTGGAAAGGAACAAAAATATTGGTGCTGTCCTTATGGCTTTGTCAAAAGCCTTTGACTGTCTACCAAAAACTTACTTTTAGCAAAACTGCATGCCTATGGTGTAGTTAGAAATTCTCTTTTACTTATACAAAACTACCTGTCTAATAGAAAGCAAAGAGTCAAAGTGAAAGGTCATTACAGCTCCTGGGGTAAACTTGGACAAGGAGTGCCACAGGGATCAATACTTGGACCTCTACTTTTCAATATTTTCTTAAATGATATTTTTTACACTTGCTGAAGGGTCTTTATGTACTTTTGCTGATGACAGAACGATATCTGTCACTGCAACAAATACTGTGGAACTATTGCAACTTGTAAAAATTAACACCAAAAATGTCTTGATTGGTTTAAATCTAATGAAATGATTGCAAATCCCTCTAAATTTCAAGCTATCACAATCGGCAGCAAAGTTAAATGCATAAATGTGTTTGAAATTGACCAAAATTTTACAATTAAAATAGAGAAAAACTTTACTTTGCTTTGTGTATAGATCGTTGAAAATTCAAAGTTTGATGCTCATATCAATAAGATCTGTAAAAAAGCAGCTAATCTGTTAAATTCTTTGAAAAGATTGGCAAGATTTATGGGCGACAGAGAAAAAAAGATAATGATGAATTCATTTATTTTATGTCACTTCAATTATTGTCCATTGATATGGATGCTTTGTGGTAAAGGAAGTCAGGATAAGCTAGAGAAAATTAACGAGAGGGCTTAAAGACTAGCCTATTCGGACTATTCATCTTCGTACAAAGAATTACTTGCTAACTCAAAAGAAACTACCATACATGTCCAATCAGTTAGATTTTAGCGCTCGAAGTTTATAAAACACTGAACATCCTTAATTCTGTTTTCATGAAAGACTATTTTTTACCCAAAACAACAGGTCACAATCTTCGACTCAAAAACCCCCTTGACATTCCAAAAGCCAGAACTACCAATAATGATATCATTAAGTTTTCAAGGGCCTAAAGTCTGGAATTTACTCCCGGAATCAATAAAGACAGCACAAAGTACTAGACAATTCAAGAATTTGATTAAAACTTGGTTCCTTGAAAACAAGTGCGCATGCTCGTTTTGCAGTAAATGAACTGTCTTGTGAAATCCTTGGAATTGCTTCATGTTAGTCTAAATTAGTGTATATTCACTATTGTAAAAACTAACATTGAATAATCTACAATACAAAACAATACAATGTGAATCATGTTCAGTTGCGCGGCAATGACGTCTGACATTTTCAAAATGCCTCGCGCCAGCCTCAAAGTAGTGGGATGGGCAACGAAGGAATGAAGCTGTTAAAGGGTCTGGGTGAGAAACCGGTGCAACACCATAGGAGAAATTGCGCTTGTTATTGATTACCAAGTTTGACATATTTTGAAAGCCTCAATAGAAGAGTTGAATTTCATTGGCAAAGGTTTACAAACATAAAAGTTAATAACATAAAACTTAATTTCAGAGTGGTATGTTTAAGATAGCAATGGTTTTAAACTAATTAACAAGGCTTCCTTTGTTTATTTTATCTGCCATATCTCGATCGATGGTAATTTGAACAAAAGTATTACAACCTTTTATCTGACAATGAGGCTTAAAAGTGATGCAGCTGCAACAGGTGGGGCTGCAACTATACTATCCTTACAGCTTAAAAAAGTTTGGGTGCAAGTTTTAAATTTAATTATTGCCAAAAACCTTTAACAAGGAAGGAAGATAAGGACAACACGCCAAGAACCAACTGTTTAGCACAATAAAACTGTGTTTTATAGATCATCTTCATTTTAGTTTCTCACTATTTACGGAACTGATGATCCAACACACCATACTCTATGTCAGCTAAGATCGGGAACGATCTGTAACTGACCATCAAAATAAAAAAAGTTGCGATCTAAGAGAAGAAAGCGAACACCACCTTCCTTATGTTTCTAATCCAGTTTTGGAAAAATAAGAAAGTCGAATTTTACCCCAGTCTACCCCGTGGCGCCGCCCCTGCGACCCAACCCTAGATTAAGCCCAGTTTTCAAACGTAACCAAAAAGTTCCGTTCCTGACCGTTTACACTAGAAAAAACAAGCACGATTTGGGAACGAAACCAAAGAGTTTCGCATTTTAGCGAAACCAAAGAAGAGCGGAACGGAACCGTTCCCCAACTAGCACGGAACCAAGATGCTTAGTGTAAACGCAAGGCCTATCGTCGCTTTTTCAGGCACGGAACAAAGGAGTTCCGTTCTTTATTCTGTAGTGTAAACGGGCTCTTATTGTAGATTTAGGGCGCGTCAAAAGATTTTTCAATGTTTTTGCTTAACTTTGGTAACAAGCTGCTTCTTTTTACGATCAAAAGAAATCAATCAACAGAGAAAACCACTAAGTTTTATCATTTTTCGTGCTCTTTTCTTTTTATGAACCTTTAAAGTTTTTTGAAAAGTTATTGAACTCCGAGGGTCAGTGTGAATGTTTTTAAGTCAGTCACTTTGAGATGCTTTTACCACAATGTTCTGTGCTTGCATGTTCGGATAAGCATTTCACGATCGTGAACTTGCCGCATCTCATCTAGCCTATAAGCAGATTTTAAAAATAGAGGAAATTGTAAATCTAATCAACAGCGATGATTTTCTTACGCAAAATATATTCAATTTGGAAAAATGTACAAAACCAAAGATTTATTTTGTCTTTGTTTGACATTTTATTGAAAAATTTCCGTCTCGGCAACCTGACACTTGCCACCCTCCCTAGAAATTTTTCTAGCCCCGTCCCTGCTTCTGCGTAATTACTTTAATATAAAAAACTAAAATTCCATTGCCTTATATTGCAATGAAGAAAGAACATTTCACTTTTTAATGGCTTTGAAAAAAGCAGAACTTACAACAAAAGAAACAAAGCTGCCCCTCAAAGAGAACAGCCGCCTCGATCTTGTACGTCTAGAAACACCGTTAAAAGAAGTGATTCTGCCATCGGTCGACATCTTTTAGATAACTCAGATTCGGCAAAACTCTATAAATGACGACATGTTTAAGATAAATGGCAGAGCCCCGTCGTCTTTCCATCTAGCAGTTTTGGAATCGATCTACATACAAACGAAAAAGTCGCCATTGTGTACACAGAAGGAGTATCGTTTTCTCTCTTGGACTTCAGTGGTAATTTTTCTTTAGGCACGCAAAACTGATCGGACAATTTTACGGGCCTTGTGCTCGCATTTTTTCTGATTGGCCAATTTCGATCCACAACTGGGTATATATTTTTCATCGTGTTCTTTCGAACCCTTATTCTGACGTTTTATGTCAAACGGAAAAGCTTTTAGCCAATATATTTTCAAATGTTTTTTTTCAAAGCCATTTTCAAGTTCTGTACCGCCAAAAGACGATTCACTCTTTCTTAGATCCTATGGCCTAGCTAGGTTTAAAAACTGGCTTAAAAATGTATCTTATCAACTTTTTACATATGTCACTGCTTCCATTTCCATTTCTTACATTATATAAGGCAGCTATTTTGTCTTTTTCTGAAGCCAACGATCTGTGAGACCAAATAATACTAATAACTACTCAACTTTATTTACACTTATTTGGTGTAAAGAACGGGACAGTTCTAAGTTGCTTCTTCGATTTTCGCCTATAATGCGATCATTAACAATTTTCTGAGCTTTATTTACATATGGTATAAAACTTTGTACTGTATTCACGTGACTGCTTCAAATGGTTCAGTAAGCTCAGTGTATTTAAGTTACATATTTTTTCAGTCATACTATGTTATTTCTTGCATAGAATCAACTGTTGTAAAAAACACTCAAGGTTCATTGTGTTACATAAGCAACGATTCATTGTGTTACATAAGTAAACATTTTCTAGTAATTCTCATTTATGCCCCAAAGCATAATAGGGTGTTTTTATTTACCAAAGTCAAACTCTGCTAGATATATTTCAAACATGGAAAATCCTTTTCAAGAATATATAGTTTCATTTTTCTCGCTTGAGAAATTTGGAACACTATCTTGTATAGGTGAAGGCATTAAGTAAATTTTGATAATGCTTTCATTATCTTTTGTGTGTTAGTAGAAACGGGGCTACCAAAAACTCCTTGAAATTCTCTGGCACTATTACAGTGCATTTCTTTTAATGTCTTTGATGTTATTGTCAAGTTAAAATTATTTGATTTCATTGCGCTTCATGCCCCGACAGAACTGAATCACTATTAAATGTATTGCTTTACCCATGCAGTCACCTAGCAAGTTATCTAAATATTATGAGTAAAGTTAAGCCACCTTCGCTGAACTTCGCTCAACTTGACGATAACAAAGTTGAGTGAAATATTAAGTGAAATTTTTAGCTGTTTTTCCAAGGGCGGCTTTTATTGCAAGTTAAATCCCCGTTTATATCCAATCGGAGTCACATCCGTGCGACACTCGAAAATCCACAACCCTGCCAAATTTGAATAAAATAACATATGTGCTTTTATTTTATCTTCAACTCTGATAATCCGGGACAGCTACAAGGGTTGCAAAAGTCAAACAAGAAAACACAGACACCGACAGGTTTCGGAGAACCTGGGGCAAAGCAGAAGATGAAGTCCAATGCGAGTGAAGCAAGCAGAAAATTTCCGTGACCACGCCCTTTAGAATAGCTAAATAAATTCAAATTATTTCATGCAATTATTTTCTTGTAATCGTTTTAAATCTTTTACTATTTTTAAGGCACAATTTTTTGATATATTTTGTTAATTAAATTCTTAAAATGAAACTTATTATCATAAGTGGCCCTCTAGACTGAGGCCTTGGGACTATTTGACCCCCTTGCCTCTTTCACTCGGTGGCACTGTCCACCTGCAGTGTTTGCTTCAATCTTAATGTTCAATATTCGTCCTATGTTGTATTTGAAGAAACAATAGGCAGCCAATCAACTGGTAGATATAATGCTGCTATCGTACAAATATGATGCCATCGTTTCCAGGTTCCAAACGCTTACCAGCTTTTGAACACGAAGAAACGTTATCTCAGCTTAAGAAAAATGTGGCTGAACACCTTCTTCCAAACGATCATATTCTACAAATTTGTGGAATCAAATGGATCGATCGAAAGAACTGCTTTACAACGCACTTCACTGTTTCTCTTAGACATGGAGAACACCAAGCTGGACAATGGCCTGGTTTCTAAAAGAGAATCGCCTTCACTGTTGTCCTGTACACAATGTTGCATTAAAATCAACAGCTGTAAAAGCATTAACTACAGAGCTTCCACGATGGAATGCGAAATTTTGTCTGCGAATGCTCTGGAAAGCGGTTCAGATTTGCTTGAAAATAAAGCTGGCTGGAATCATTACAAACCTCTCCAACCGGTAAGAAGTCTTTCCTTTCAATTTCATATGCAAGTTTGGGTTAATTAAAATTTTTGAGGATTGAAAGATTAATTCTCTCTTCTGATGGTAAATGGAATTGAATATGAAAATAAATAATAAAAAGGGATAATCAAACATGCTGTTTTTCTCTAGTTACTCTAGATAATTTGTAATAATTGTTTATTTTTGATAAAACACTTTTGTTGAAATGGGAGCAGGGGCGTACCGCGCAGGTAGGGAGGGGTGTGGGGGGGGGTGTATAATTAAACTAAATTAGATTTGTAGCAAAATATTAATGTATAAAAAGAACTTCTTTCGGTAAAATATGGTTTTGCATCTCTTACACCCCCCCCCCCTCCAGCGAAAATGGTCACGCGACGCCATGAATGGGAGACTGGTTGATTTCATTTAGCACCATTATTTAATTTAGTGAAACAAGTGATTCTGCCATCGGTCAACATCTTTTGGACAACCCAGATTGTGCTAAACTCTATAATGACGACATGTTTCGGATAATTGACAGAGCCCGGTCGTCTTTCCATTAGCAGTTTTGGAATCGATAAGTCCTAATTATGGTTTGCGTTGTATTCACAACGTGTTTTTGTACTTTACGCCTAATGAAAAACTTTCCATCCATTTAGATTTTGAAGGCGTTTTATTCATTGCAACACCTTATTTTTGTTTAATTTTCGTGAATTGGTTTTGTCAAATTTATGCTTTTGACACTTGAAGAAGAAATTTTCATCTATACACAAAGAAATAGATTTGCAATTAAATACTGTTTAGACTTTCTTTCAGCCGTTTAAAACGGTTTATTATTCACAGGGGAGATGTGAGGCATACGACAGAGAGCAGTTGTGTGGTGCAGAACAAGTTTGTCAAGAAGATTATCATTCACGTGCTGGATACAAGTGCAAAAATTTAGGTGATTTCTCCTTATGTTTATAATCCTGCGATCTTTGGCAGTATTATTAAAACTGGAGAAAAGAAACCTTGTAAGAGGCAAAATCGATTATATTTTTCACATTCCTAACAAAATCAGCATTTCTTAGCTTGCATCGTGGGAATTTTCTGTTGCTTAATAACTTGCAGAAAGTGTAAGCAATTTTAGACCATTGAATGGTACCAGTGACTCTGTTTCAAGACCGTTTAATTTACACATACAAGATGCCTAAACGGGAATTCATTTCTTGAATTTGAATTGCAAGCAGGTGGCATTGACTAATTCTTGTTTTTAATTTTTTTGTACTTTTTTTATGCTTCGATTAAAGGTAAAATATTTTTGTAGTAAACAAGAAACTTCGCAACGCGCCGAAAACAAACAACAACAAAAACACGTAAATCAGTAATAGCTAACATTTTGCCTCGGCAAACAGGGCTTCATCAGAGCAAAAGTAAACGGGGTGAGAATCTATAAATTTAAAAAAGGGGATAGTGGTGTTGGATTGATGGACACGGAAAGGTGTGAAAGCTGCGCAGCCTAGAAGAAACAGGTAATGAAAGTAGAAGAGAAAGAGTGGCGAGTGATGCGAGAGAGCGTAGGTTGTAGTGGTAGAATGAAAGTGCTATGAGTTAGGGCAGTGATGAAAAAAATTGAGAAAAAATAATAATTATTATTGTAATATTGAATAATGATAACAGTGATTTTCAAAAATGATATACAACGATAAAGCATATAATTTTATTGACTTGCGCTGTTCGAGCAGAGTGCAGCATGTTGAATCGGGCTTGTGATCAGACGTGCAAATTTACCAAACTTGCCCTTTTCGTCGAAGTGTTTCTTAATTCGATATTACGGAACAAATCTTAGCAAGAGTTGGAAAAAGTGTACTAACAAGAAGTTGCCGGGCTGTACATTTATACTTAGTGGGACATCTGATTCAGTTACTCCTTCTCTTTCGTAAAAATTTTACAAACGGTAGCAAAATCTTGCTCCACCATTTGACCTACCATTTTCGGACAAAAATATTTTGTTTCATGTCTAACTTTAAGGAAACTGCACATTTTGATGAAAATAGGTGATTTTTTGGCGGGACCCTTTAGAAATCTTTGCTGACCATACCATATTTAAGTAGCAAGAAGAACAATCAATTTATGATTTTTGATATCAAGATCGTTATCACATTAAGGCAATTGACGATACAAGAGGTCGACCGATTACACTTTTGACAAGTCGAACGTTCATTTTACGCATTTTTTTTGTTGTCGTCAGTGGGAAAAACGTTTCAAAATAACTTTTATTTAGCAGAATCCAATAGAAATTTCGGCTTATCTTTACAGATTTGAATTTAAATATAGAATTCACAAGCAGTTTCGATTTTGGTTATATATTCTTTGTTTGATTATCTGGTAAATGACTAGCATTTTACTGTCATGCTATGTTCAAATTTTGCAAAAAGGGCACAAAGAGGTTATGGAGGCTGCTGTGGGTAAAAAGGGAAGATTCAGATCACCTGCGAGCGTAGCAAGCAGAAATTTTGGCAATCACGCCCCTTGGATTACCTTAAAATTCCTTTTCAGAACGATTTATTGAAGTAATTTCGAAACGTTTAACGGTTGTCAATTATCCGTCGAAAGTCCGAAAATTCTGACGACATCGCTGATTCGGGGGCAGAGCACACAATAGAGGAATCGTTCCGGTGATCTGATATTTTATCTGGTCCGTCTTTTATAGACAAATGCAACTGCGATAGTGTAGAAAAATTGATTACCAATTTCTGACAGGGCGTAGTTTTAAAGGAAGGAGGAGTTTGAAATTCTGAGACTCATTTTGATAGCTAAAGATCTGCTCTTTCCGCTGATATACCTCAGATTTTGTTACCTCAAACGCAAGGATACCAAATGGCTTTAAGGTGGTGATGGTGGTACACTAATTTAATAGAAGGGGGGTACACTTATTACAGCAATGAATTTGTGTGGAAAGTATCATTTCATGACATTTGATAATTATCTTGATTTGGTTGGAATCAGAAAACTCTTGTGAATCGAATGATATACAGTTCGATCGGATTCCGTTAATAGTTTGGCTTTTAGAGAAAGAAAAGAAAAGAATTTTGCCTGAAACGTTTACCGTAATCTTGCTTGAGTATTCGATAGACTTGCATTGGTTCAAAGTGTTTAAAAGAAGATTGTTCAAACATTTAGGTAGTAGTCGATTTTCTTAAGTATTCGATAGACTTGCATTGGCTCAAAGTGTTTAAAGGTGATAATTCAAACATTTATGTAGTAGTCGATTTTCTTAAGTATTCTATAGACTTGCATTGGCTCAAAGTGTTTAAAGGTGATAATTCAAACATTTATGTAGTAGTCGATTTCCTTAAGTATTCAGTAGACTTGAATTGGCTCAAAGTGTTTAAAGGTGATAATTCAAACATTTATGTAGTAGTCGATTTTCTTAAGTATTCTATAGACTTGCATTGGCTCAAAGTGTTTAAAGGTGATAATTCAAACATTTATGTAGTAGTCGATTTCCTTAAGTATTCAGTAGACTTGAATTGGCTCAAAGTGTTTAAAGGTGATAATTCAAACATTTATGTAGTGGTCGATTTCCTTAAGTATTCTATAGACTTGCATTGGCTCAAAGTGTTTAAAGGTGATAATTCAAACATTTATGTAGTAGTCGATTTCCTTAAGTATTCAGTAGACTTGAATTGGCTCAAAGTGTTTAAAGGTGATAATTCAAACATTTATGTAGTGGTCGATTTCCTTAAGTATTCAGTAGACTTGCATTGGCTCAAAGTGTTTAAAGGTGATAATTCAAACATTTATGTAGTAGTCGATTTCCTTAAGTATTCAGTAGACTTGAATTGGCTCAAAGTGTTTAAAGGTGATAATTCAAACATTTATGTAGTGGTCGATTTCCTTAAGTATTCAGTAGACTTGCATTGGCTCAAAGTGTTTAAAGGTGATAATTCAAACATTTATGTAGTAGTCGATTTCCTTAAGTATTCAGTACACTTGCATTGGCTCAAACTGTTTTGAAAGAGATTATTCAAAAAATTTTACAGTGGTTGAACTTCTTACGTTTGCGTTGAGAGTATAAAAAAATCAAGTGAAAATATTTACAGAAAACTTTCTTGATACATTTCTTTTGTCTTATTAGCGACTTTTTGCTAGAAAACATTAGTCCCGCTCTAAGTTGCTGCTCTTTTCTTTTTCTTAAATTCATATCCTGTTCATATCTTAATGTTTGTGCATCTTTTTGCATTTGGAATTACATGTTTTTTCTTCGATTGCCTAGCCCCCATGTCAGAAGGTGAAGCCCCTCCATTGGAGAATTTCTAGCGCCACCATTGTACATCCTTACATTGATTTAAGCAGAATTTGCATTTAAAAACAGAATTTTCCATAGAAAACATTGCACTTGGAAGAATGGCCAGCCAGTCAAGTAACTATCTAGACGGGGCCGCAAGCAGAGCTGTGGATGGAAATGACAACACCGACTTCAGAGAAGATTCCTGTACCCATACATCAGTCACTGCTTTTATTTGGTGGAAGGTTGATTTCGGCCAAACTGCTGTTGTTCATTCAGTAAAAATTACAAACAGAGGTGAAGCAAAACTTCTGGGTGGTAAAAGACAAATATTTTATTGCCATTCTGAATAGCCATACTTGAAAGTATATGAGATCATCGAAATCATCTCGATTAGGGGAGAAATCAGATTTTTGCAGGCGTTGCGCTGTCTATAGAAGCAGGAGCACTTGGCAGATTTGTTGTTTTCAAAGAACTTGCTCTTGGACTTATTTCAGACGATACCTCTTTAGTCTTCCAACACTATTCCTCCTCCTCATTGCTTCTTTCATTATCTACCAAAACTATAAAGCTTAAATTTTGACAGGCCATTTCATTTCATTTCTTTTGCAACACAACAATGTGCATGTTGAATTTTCTTTTCTCAAATGGGCAATTATAGTGAATTGTTGCCCGACAATGTGACCGAACTGGAAAACAAACGGCTCAAGTACTAGAGCAACAAATTTCTTGAAGAATCTGTCGACCGCCATTTTGGCCAAACTGGACAACATTTGAGCTTTATTGGGAAATAATGAATGTTGCCCGACAATGTCGCATAGTTTGGCCAAGCCTTTAGGCTTTGCTCCTTTTTAGCAGTTTCAAGTTTAATTCAAGTTTTAATAGACAAATTTTTTTTGTATGAATTTTTTTGATAGGTGATTGCTGTGGGGATCGTCTTTCAGACTTCAACATTGTAGTTGGCAACAGTAGTGAAGGCAATGGCGGCAGCAACACAGTGTGTGCAGCTAGTCAAAGTGTCCCACAAGGTGGCACAAAGCTGTTTCCATGCCGTCCTAGGCTTCATGGCAGATATTTGTATATACAACAAAACAAAGCAGTGGCAATATCACTATGTGAAGTGAGGGTATTTGGCGAATTTCTTGAGTTGTAAACATAAAAAGGTTTACGAAATGTGTTTTGGACAATTTTTGTTAGCACCATCTAACATATACGTAGCTTCATTCTTCCGTTTCTTACAGCAAAAGAGGAGGCTATATTCCTTATTTTAATGTAGCCAATGACAAGTGGGAAATGTAAAATACTTAATGTTGCTGAATTTCGTTTGATTTGGTGTACAAATGTCTACCGTATAGCTTAGGTGAATGCTCTAAATGGTTTGCTAAACTAAGCCTATTAGGTAATTTTTAAGTTAAATAAAAATAAGTCGTTTCTTGCACAGAATAATAACAGCTAAAAACATTTTCAATGTAAAAAGTTGGCAAAGGAAAAACAACAAGAACTATGATTCGTTGGTTTTATGTTGGCAAAATCGATTATCGGCTCAGATTAATTAATTTTCAATTTTGAATGGAATGCCTCACCGTATGCAAAATTGGCATTTGCATTTAACATGCTGATCCGGACAACAAATTGGATCCACCTTAAGTGTGCAGTCCTAAATTTGTTGGATACATAAATGAACGATATTCATGCTAGACTCGCCTGAAGTCTATTTTGAACTTGAAAAAGGAGTTTATACTTTCGCGTTTTCGCGAGCAGATGATATGCGAAGATAGAAATGACGGATCGTGAGTAGAGAAGTCTTGAGCAGTGCTAGATTTACCATAGTCCTGAGAAGTGCCCGTTCTAGGACATGCCTAACCACAGGGATCCATTTGACATGGGGACCGATTGTTTCCATAAAAATGTTGAAAAATACATGAAAATATATTCCAATCGACCATAAGCTTTTGCTCATATCAGTGACCTAAATGGCTAGTCTACTAAAAGCTTCCAGAGATAATGTGTGTAACATGAAAACGCGAGCGTGTGTATATGAACGTGTAGGCTCCAAAAAATAGAATTTTTATTGAACTAAATTGAATGGTCACGGAAACGAGACTGACAATATAATTTAGTTGAATAGCAGAGAAAGGAGACGATTCGAAGAGAGCGAAGTAGAAGAAAAGACGTGGGGATTGTACGTCACGCAAAGTGACTGAATTTACATGTAATCATCGTTTGGTTTAATTTGAATGTTCACAGTGGATTTATTGTGTGGTTTCTGCCAACAGTGGCAATATAACTTGAACGCGCTTGAACACGCCAGCAGGCAACAAATGCTCCAAGTTTTTACTAATAGCAGCTGAATAATGCAATATGAGCCTGTCCCTTCACTGTATCCCACTCTTTCTTCTACTTGCGTGAATGTGTTCTGCTCTTTGCCTTTGTGAATGCATGGTTACTGCTTGCATGTATGGTTGGGTGAAAGCATGTTGCTCGCTGGGTGTAACTCTTAGGTCGAAAGCGAGACAACAAAATGGTCATGAGGTTACCACTTTGGTTGGTCGATCTGAATGTTGAGAATTGTGACTTTACTGGCTATGGTTAAAAAGAGAGTGATTTATAAAAAGTCATAAGAACTACAACAAGAACGAAAGTTTGATCCAGCTTTGCTCCCTAGTAATGAGTAAACGATGAAAAGGTGGTGGAAAAAAGAAGATATCAAAAAGAAGAAAAGAGATATCCTAGCATTCAATATAAATCAAGACATATAGCTTTACATATCCGAAACAAAGGATTTGGATTTTATATGATTTGGACGCAATCCTTGGCAATCGTGAGCAACTCCAAGTACCAGGCTCCTCATAGTCATCACCTGTAACCAAAGTATCAGTGTAACCCATCTACTTTTGCCACAGCGCAACCCATCTACCTTTGTCAGTGACTCTATGTACCAGGGAACTCATAGGCACAGAGGTCCCCAGCCAACAAATATGAAACGGAGGTTTTGCATGACTTTACTAGCAAGAATTATGTAGATTTATGGATCACATCAAAGTATGAAAAAGTTTCATGCTGGATAGAGAAAGACCTCTTTGCATAGAGACACTGGGGTGGAGAGTAACTACAAATACCAAATTAATTTCTGTTTAATAAATTTGTCTTTGTCCATAAAAAATTGATAAATCTTATCAACAGGAATGGATAGAATGTTCTCAGACATTAAGATGCTCAAAATGTTCTTGAAACTCCATGCGAGTATTAAAGAATAATCTTTGATTAGTGTAAACCTTTTCAAAACATAACATGAAAGTTGCGCATGCACATTGTAAGGTAATTGATACATTCAATACTAAACAAGTCTATTTACTTCATTCGGATGTCCACTTCCAAAGGAAAGTGGAGATGACGGGTGTGAAACCTCCTTGAGAAAAATCCGATTCAAAAATGTGAAGTATATGACAGTTGGGCGGGTTCTATCTTGAGTATGCCGGACAGTAACATAAATAGAAAAATTCATAGAGGGGGCCAAAAATTTAGATTTTCCGACAATATCTAATGAGCATTTTAATTTTTGCATGTATTAGATCATGTCAATATTACATTAAGACTGAAATAGAACATCAAATCAAGTTATATCATTCAAAGATTACTATGCAAATCTTGATCCTACCGAAACTGGAAACAGTAGAAAATTTTGAAAGACTTTCAAACCAATCTTCTCGAAAGGAAAGTAAATACCAACGAAAAAATTGTTTTGGTTGAGGATGGTCGCATCCTCCATAATGATAAGATGATAGGGGAATGTTTTAACTCGTACTTTGCGAATATTACTGGTACCCTAGATCTAACCAAAGAAACAATCAGTGCCCCTTGGGAAATAATTTACGAAGAACCAGTGCTACCAGCAATAAATAAGTACAAGAACTATCCTAGTATTTAAATGATCAAACGAAATGTAGGCCAACTTGCTGAGGAGGATAAATTTGAATTTTCTTGCATCAACTCAACCTCGGTTTGGAATGAAATCAATCAGCTTAAAATTGCAAAAGAGGCCAGCGATGAAGTACCGATTGATTCGCTTAAAATGGTCTCAGATCTTGGCTATCAGGAAATCACCCATCATATGAACAGATTAATTGAATACTTTGAATTTCCGGACAAATTGAAGGGGGCAGATGTCTCCCCTATCTTTAAAAATGACAATGGAACAAACAAAAAGAACTACAGGCCAATCAGTGTACTTTCTACACTCTCAAAAGTGTTCGAGAGACAAGTCTCACAACATATGACTCCTTTTGCGAAGACAAAAATCTCTAGGCTTCTAGGCTACTCTGTGGCTTCAGAGAGGGGGAAAGTACTCAACATGCCCTTTTTAGATTAATTGACAAACGTCGCATATGCCTGGATGATGGAGGCGTTATCGGTATGGTACTGATGGATCTGTCAAAAGCTTGAGGCTTATGGCTTTGGCATGAACTGCCTCAGATTTATATATAGCTATCTCTCTGGCAGAAAACAAAGGGTGAAGATTGGATTCACCTTCACCGACTGGCTCGATATCCTATCAGGTGTACCCCAAGGTTCCGTCTTGGGTCTTTTACATTTTACATTTACGTCAATGATTTGATTTATTTCATCCAAAACACAAAAATTTGCAATATCGCAGATGACAATACCATTTACTCTTGTGGTAGTGATTTGGATGGAATTATTATTGACACAGAAGAAGATCTATGTCAAACTCTTAAATGGCTCGAATAAAACAGACTTAGCTGTTGTAATAAAGGACCATTTCTATGCATGACGTTAGAATGAATTAGCATAATTAACGACGAAGAGGAGGAGTTCGAGTGTTGGTGATGGAGAGAGGTCGAATGTTTGAGGAAGATTAGAGAATTGAGAATTGAGAACACTCGAGGGTTGTTTTTTGCTTGTATTCGTTTGTACTTGAGATATTTGCTTATTATAAACTTGTATATAATCTTCGCTTGCTGTTTCCAGTTCATGACGCTGTTTATAGAGACTTGTTGCTTTTGATGAATCGCATTCTCGGAGGTGAATCGGAGGAAATTGTATTTTTTTCACGATATTTGAAGGATTCATAACAGTAGCTTATCCATCTAAGTTCCAGCCAGATGATGCTCCTTTGAACCAAACTTGATAAAAAAATTTTCATTGAAATAAATTGAAATACTATATACTCATCAGACAGCGTTAAACTTCTAGGCGTCGCAATCGATGCTGGCCTTAAATTTGTTCAACATATCAAAACCCTATGTCATAAGATAAATCAAAATGTGAAAGCATTTTCTAGGGCGGCTAACTCCCTAGATATAGGCAAGGCAAAATTACTAAACAATTCCTTTCTGCTATCAAATTTCAACTATTGTCCTCTCATTTGGATTTTCTGTGGAAAGCAATGTAATAAGGAGATAAATCGAGTACATAAACATGCACTACGCGCGCTGTTTTTTATTATGAATCCACCTTTGAATGTCTACTCACAAAGAACAATGAAAAAGCCATCCACACCAAAAACTTACAGAAATTAATGACAGAGATATACTAATCATTAAATCATGAGAATCCTTCTTTCATGAGAGAGTTTTTAGTACAGAATGAATTGACTTATAATTTACGAATAAAAAATACGCTCCAACTTACACCTACCAAAATGATGTCATTTGAGATAAACTTATTCAGTTCATTGTAAATCGATTTCTACTCGATTTATCTCCTTATTACATTGCTTTCCACAGAATCCTTCGTTCATGCTAAATTGTAAGTAAGTTCAGTTCATAGTTCAGAATTCAGTTACATTCAAGCAACACACTGTCTCTCTCTCTGGTTCCGTGTTCTCTGCACGTAGAATAAGACTCACTGGGTTTGGAAATAACACGTTAGTCGATGGATGAAGGGAACGAATCGCACACAACAATGCTCAATTCTTGTTTCATTTCACTAAACGTATGCACCAATTGTATTTCCGACCAGCTCAAAAAATTTCCAACAAAATAGCAGTTTTGTTTTTCAGGGGGGGGTGCATTTACCCCTCTCTGCCCACCCCCTTATCTATGCCATGATGCTGGGTCTTTCCTTCATGGCAAATAGGACATCACATATTATGTAGACAGGGCGGCATTTGCCCTAAATCTGGACCTGGCTATGAGCTCGGGGGAAAACTTAGCCAAGTTTGAACGAGGACGTGCTGTTTTGGTTTAAAATTTTGACAGGTTTTTCCTCACTTGTCTTAAAAAATTTGAACCATAACTTTGTAAACATGATGAAAACTATTCCTGATATTTCTTCAATTTTTTCCAAGAATGGTACCAATAATTATGGACGTTTATTTGTACCCTAATTGGTAAACACATTTCGAAAAACTTATACCGATTATTATTTCGCACTCTTTAAAAATAAAGGTACCTTTAAATATTGGCACGTCCCCGGACTTCAATCTCAAACCACCTCAGCCCCGGGGAGGAGAGATACGTGCCCTTTTCGTCACTTTAGGGTTGCCAGGTGATCTGGGTGCTGAGTAGCCAAACTGTTTATGAAAAGATGCCAAATCACGTCAAAATAGGCCAAATTTACCCAAAACATAATGCCATCAAAATACGCAGGCGCAGTAGAAAACAAGCAAAGTTTGCAGTATATCCGTTGCCCTTTCCATCAGCAGACTCTGTAAGCCAAACATATCGCGCTTCCTAAGACTTCTTTTACATCTTTGTATTGTAATATCTACCTTGCCACTTGGTCGCCATAGATTAGAATCTCGTGAAAAATAAAGGATCATTCACTATTTATTGTAACTTATTACAAATGCGTACACCAAACTCAGCTATTATGCGAGTTATTGATTACTGATAAATTGCTAATTCTATTTCAAAACGGCTTTGAAGAAAGTAAACATTTTGAGTCATACTAAAGCTTCTCGTCTGACAATCTTCAGAGTATAAAGCGATAGAACATAGATCGAAAACGTTTTAAGTTTTGCACCACCAAAAGATTGTTTGCAAATTCTATTTCAATACATTGCCAAAAAAAATACTTGAAAGTTTGTCAATCCAATGTTGAAAAAATAAGCTTTAGCAATGACTTCACGTCATTACATGAGCAATTCAGGCACTGATCACATTTGCATTAAATCAATGCTACCTCAGTGTCTGTCAGGTTCATAAACATATTATGGCTACCCATTTTATGATTTAATGGGGGGTGTTAATCTCATTTTCGAACATTCTTTGAGGAGGCAAAAACATAGCCATATTGAAGCCTGAGGCCAAAGTTAAAATTAAAAAAGCTAAACATCTTTGAAAAAGCCAGATTTCTCAAATTTGGCCTCGCAGGAGACCCGTTGGCAACCCTAACCGTATAATGTGTGTTGCCAGAAATGCTGGAAGGCAGCAGGTGAAAAACTCAATGCCTAATATAAAAGATACATTCAAAAAGAATATTATTTCAGAATAGATGAAATAAATGCGATTCACGCAAAAACCAACCTAATTCTTAGACATAGAATCGAACCTGCTGTTTGAATAACCGTTTGAGACTTTTAGTATCTGAGACTGAGGTCATCATTTACCATTTGAAAGATGTGGCTGAAGATTTTGTACCAAGCGATTTTATTCTACAATTTTGTTACAACAAATGGATCGATCGAAAAAACTGCTTTTCACTGCACTGCACTGTTTCACGTGAACATGAAAAACACCAGGCTGAAGAGTGGTCTGATATCGAAAGAGAAATCCCCTACTGTGTTGTCCTGTACACAACGTTGCATTAAAATCGAAAGCTGTAAAAGCATCAACTACAAAGCTTCTACGATGGAATGTGAAATTTTGTCTGCGAATACTTTGGAAAGCAGTTCAGACTTGCTTGAAGATGAACCTGGCTGGGATCATTACGAGCCTTTGCCGGTAAGAAGTTATCCTTTTCACGAGCGAATCCAATGAATGATTATTGTTTTGGTGATAATTAGGTTCAAAAACGATTTTTCTGTCAAAGAGGAAATAGAATTATACAAAGTATACAAACAGTCTTTAATCGCAAAAAAATGAACTGCAAATGGCAAATTTTGGCAAAGGGAACATGCAATATAAAAGATGCTGCTTAGACAACAAAGCTATAGTTTTTATTTGCAACAATTATATATATGATAGTTTTGATTTAATGCTGTGAAGTGCCATTAGATGGAAATTTTGCCTTTGCCCTAAATGCGGCAATTCCGAAAGTATGTCACAGAAAATTCCGACAAGGCTTTGTTTGGACTTATAAAATTTTCGACAAATTGCCGCCCCCCCCCCCTTTATCTACGCCACTGGCATCACAACCAGAATATATATAACAAACACAATTCGGCGATTATATAAACAAAAACTTATCGTCAGCGATTTTACGATTCAAAGCGATAACATGTTTGGCGATAGGCGATACATCTTACCAACTGCTAACGGACTTCACGAACGGCACGGTACGTTAGGCTAATTGAAACGGTTTTCTCTCACAGGGGAGATGTGAGGCACACGACAAAGAGCAGTTGTGTGGTGCAGAGCAAGTTTGTCAAGAAGATTATCATTCACCTGCTGGATACAAGTGCAAAAATTTAGGTGATTTTTCCTTATACGAATTTATAATCTTGAGATCTTTGGTCGTATTATTAAAACTGGAGAAAAGAAACCTTGTAAGAGGCAAAATCGATTATATTTATCACATTCCTAACAAAATCAGCATTTCTAAGCTTGCATCGGAATTTTCTGTTGCTTAATAACTTGCAGAAAGTGTAAGCCATTTTATACCATTGAATGGTACCAGTGACTTTGTTTCAAGACCGTTTAACCCACACATTCAAGATGCCCAAACAAAAAATTCATTTTTTGCGTTGAAACTTTAAACAATATTTTTGCTTATTCAGGGGCTATTAAAAAAATTAATTTTTTCTTAAAGGAATGCCACATGATACACTTGCAGGTCTCAAAACCTCAAGGCACTATGTCTAGAGGCATTTGAGAGGTATTCAAATTTCCCATCGGTTCTGCTACACAGTAGATCTATTGTTTCATAAACAGTCGGCAACGTCAGACAACAAAGCAAAATTTTCTCCTTCGCCAACCAAAGGAATGACAATGCAACACGAGGTCTTTCATTATAGAAATCTCCACCCATTTCTCAATACATGTTGGAAAGCCTATTGCCAACTCTGAACGTTTGACTGATGTGTCATGTAGTTCTTTTTTATTTTGCCACGAAAGAAACCCAAAGAAAGGTGTTTATGGATCGCAGCCATCGCTTCTGGGATAAAAAAAATCGCCTAAGAAAGACAAAAATTTCTGACGTGACGGACGGACAGGAGAGAGCAGACGTTGAAAACTAATTAATTTATTTCTCCTAGATATAAAAGCAAAAAAAGGTTCTATACACCCCCCCCCCCTTCAAGAAATAAAAGTAAAAGTTGATTTCTATTGCCCTATCTTTGATATGGTACCTTCAACGCTAATGTTTTTGATGATACAAGCAGAAGTATCAAACTTTTCACTTTCAGAAAACTTACAATTGCTCGTTCTTCCGTCATGGACTTTTTCATCAAATTTCCAAAGAAATATAATTAAAACTCATTAAGAATATTGACATATTCGAAGTGTTTATGAAGGACAGCACTTGTTATGAAAATCATAATTTCACAGGTTTTCATCACTCCAAAAAGGTTTCTGATGAAGTAGCCGATCAGATAGAAGGAATTCCATCTCCTTTCTCCTTTTCATTATTTACCAAGGCATTTGTCATAAGTGGCATTTTGGTCGTACGACAAAGGCAAATTGTCCGGATTAACCTGTAAAGCGTCCGGATATCTGTAAAGCTGGTCTGCAACTTTCACAAGTAGCTGTTAGGTTCATGTGGATCAGCATCCTTCATTTGCCACTGCCATGTGAAAATAGGGGCATCACGATACGGGATGTGGTGGGGGGGGGGCTGGTTTCATCCCAAAATGGAAGCGGGAGAAGAAATTTCAGGTAAATTCCATTCGGCATGAAAAACATTTCAGATAATTTGGACACCTTCATGTCATAAAATGGATAAAGAAAAAGACCTGGGGATGGGGGTATCTTAATAGGTTTAGAGGTACGAGGACGTGCCCTTATTTAGGGGTACCCATTTTGTGAATAGCACAGAATTATGAGTATCACTTTAAGAAATTTGAGCGGATATTTTGATACCATTTGGAGAAACATGCAGAATTTGTTATCATTTTACCAATTATCATTTGGTTATCATTTTGGGAAAATATTGCAAAACTTTTTGAAGAAAAATTAGGTATTAACAAAATGAATGTCCAGTTACAAATTAAATTATGGGAAATGTGTAATATTGAGATTTTGGGAAGAGGACATAGAAATTTGTTTGATGATTTTGCTGCATTTTGAAAATATTATTTGCCTTGCGGAATCATGTCTATAGTTTTCATCGTGTTTGCGAAATTATGGGTCACATAATTTCAGAAATGTGAGGAATAATGGGCCCAAATTTCGAACAAAAATGACACGTCTCCGTCAAAAACTAGGCTTATTTAGAATCCCCTCCCCTCCCCAAGAATAAGACAAATTGCTCAGTAGCTTGTATATGACATTCACCTCAAGATAGACAAAACTAAGCGTTACTAATTTCAAGATTTCTTGTTTGCAACTAAATCCGAAAACTTGGCCGATTTTAGGTAAAACTGTTTCATTTGTCAAAATTCCTGAAAAGTTTTCGAGGAACTGTCGAATTACAACTTAAAAGAGATTTTTTGTAAATCGTTTGAAAAATCTCCGTTGAAACATTCAAGTCAACGCAAGTCTACCAAATACTCAAGAAAATCGACTACTACATAAATGTTTGAACAATCTCCTTTAAAACAATTTGAACCAATGCAAGTCTACTGAATACGTATGGAAATCGACTACTACATAAATGTTTGAATTATCACTTTTAAACACTTTGAGCCAATGCAAGTCTACTGAATACTTAAGGAAATCGACTGCTACATAAATGTTTGAATAATCTCCTTGAAAACAGTACGAACCAATGCAAGTCTATTGAATATTTAAGAAAATCAACTACTACATGAATGTTTGAATTATCACCTTTAAACACTTTGAGCCAATGCAAGTCTTCTGAATACTCAAGAAAATCGACTACTACATAAATGTTTGAACAACCTCCTTTAAAACAATCAGAACCAATGCAAGTCTTCTGAATACGTATGGAAATCGACTACTACATAAATGTTTGAACAATCTCCTTTAAAAAACTTTGAGCCAATGCAAGTCTACTGAATACGTATGGAAATCGACTACTACATAAATGTTTCAAGAATTTCCTTTAAAACAATTTGAACCAATGCAAGTATACTGAATACGTATGGAAATCGACTACTACATAAATGTTTCAAGAATCTCCTTTAAAACAATTTGAACCAATGCAAGTCTTCTGAATACGTAAGGAAATCCACTACTACATAAATGTTTGAATTATCACCTTTAAACACTTTGAGCCAATGCAAGTCTACTGAATACGTATGGAAATCGACTACTACATAAATGTTTGAACAATCTCCTTTAAAACAATTTGAACCAATGCAAGTCTACTGAATACGTATGGAAATCGACTACTACATAAATGTTTCAACAATCTCCTTTAAAACAATTTGAACCAATGCACGTCTTCTGAATACGTATAGAAATCGACTACTACATAAATGTTTGAACAATCTCCTTTAAAACAATTTGAGCCAATGCAAGTCTACTGAATACGTAAGGAAATCGACTACTACATAAATGTTTCAAGAATCTCCTTTAAAACAATTTGAACCAATGCAAGTCTTCTGAATACGTAAGGAAATCCACTACTACATAAATGTTTGAATTATCACCTTTAAACACTTTGAGCCAATGCAAGTCTACTGAATACGTATGGAAATCGACTACTACATAAATGTTTGAACAATCGCCTTTAAATCAATTTGAGCCAAGGCAAGTCTTCTGAATACGTATGGAAATCGACTACTACAAAAATGTTTCAAGAATCTCCTTTAAAACAATTTGAGCCAAGGCAAGTCTATTGAATACGTATGGAAATCGACTACTACATAAATGTTTCAAGAATCTCCTTTCAAACAATTTGAACCAATGCAAGTCTACTGAATACGTATGGAAATCGACTACTACATAAATGTTTCAAGAATCTCCTTTAAAACACTTTGAGCCAATGCAAGTCTACTGAATACGTATGGAAATCGACTACTACATAAATGTTTGAAGAATCTCCTTTAAAAAACTTTGAGCCAATGCAAGTCTACTGAATACGTATGGAAATCGACTACTACATAAATGTTTGAACAATCTCCTTTAAAACAATTTGAACCAATGCAAGTCTACTGAATACGTATGGAAATCGACTACTACATAAATGTTTCAACAATCTCCTTTAAAACAATTTGAGCCAAGGCAAGTCTACTGAATACGTATGGAAATCGACTACTACATAAATGTTTGAACAATCTCCTTTAAAACACTTTGAGCCAATGCAAGTCTACTGAATACGTATGGAAATCGACTACTACATAAATGTTTGAAGAATCTCCGTTAAAAAACTTTGAGCCAATGCAAGTCTACTGAATACGTATGGAAATCGACTACTACATAAATGTTTGAACAATCTCCTTTAAAACAATTTGAACCAATGCAAGTCTACTGAATACGTATGGAAATCGACTACTACATAAATGTTTCAACAATCTCCTTTAAAACAATTTGAGCCAAGGCAAGTCTACTAAATACGTATGGAAATCGACTACTACATAAATGTTTGAACAATCTCCTTTAAAACATTTTGAACCAATGCAAGTCTACTGAATACGTAAGGAAATCGACTACTACATAAATGTTTCAACAATCTCCTTTAAAACACTTTGAACCAATGCAAGTTTTCTGAATAGGTATGGAAATCGACTACTACATAAATGTTTGAACAATCTCCTTTAAAACAATTTGAACAAATGCACGTCTTCTGAATACGTATGGAAATCGACTACTACATAAATGTTTCAAGAATTTCCTTTCAAACAATTTGAACCAATGCAAGTCTACTGAATACGTATGGAAATCGACTACTACATAAATGTTTCAAGAATCTCCTTTAAAACAATTTGAACCAATGCAAGTCTTCTGAATACGTAAGGAATTCCACTACTACATAAATGTTTGAATTATCACCTTTAAACACTTTGAGCCAATGCAAGTCTACTGAATACGTATGGAAATCGACTACTACATAAATGTTTGAACAATCTCCTTTAAAACAATTTGAACCAATGCAAGTCTACTGAATACGTATGGAAATCGACTACTACATAAATGTTTCAACAATCTCCTTTAAAACAATTTGAACCAATGCACGTCTTCTGAATACGTATGGAAATCGACTACTACATAAATGTTTCAAGAATCTCCTTTAAAACAATTTGAGCCAAGGCAAGTCTATTGAATACGTATGGAAATCGACTACTACATAAATGTTTGAACAATCTCCTTTAAAACACTTTGAGCCAATGCAAGTCTACTGAATACGTATGGAAATCGACTACTACATAAATGTTTGAACAATCTCCTTTAAAACAATTTGAACCAATGCAAGTCTACTGAATACGTATGGAAATCGACTACTACATAAATGTTTGAACAATCTCCTTTAAAACAATTTGAACCAATGCAAGTCTACTGAATACGTATGGAAATCGACTACTACATAAATGTTTCAAGAATCTCCTTTAAAGCAATTTGAGCCAAGGCAAGTCTTCTGAAT